TTGTCTGTCTGTCTGTTTGTTTGTTTGTCTGTTGTCAACTTCAATCTATTGCATCGTATGTGAGTTCCTTGTGACCAAACCTTTTCGGTGGTACTAAAATTTTGACCTTGTGACCTTGACATTGGCCATCACAACATTCTGTTGCAATAGAGGGCATAGTGTTTCATAAACACGTCTTGTTTGGTGTATATTACACGATGACGAAAACCTATAACTCACATACTCGGCAGGGTTGAGCTTGAGGAATATAGGGTCTCACGGTGTGACATTGTTTACGAACACTACATAAAAAGATCGTTTAATGGTCATTGCCCCGGTCTCTGTAAACAGCATACGACAAACTTACATATATCAATTACGTAGCAGTACACACCTATATAAACTCACCAAGTGTGACCTATTTTAGCTTCTCTTAAAATATCATGTGTAAGAAAAGCTGATATTTATCAACACATCTTTCAAATTGTTTTGAAGTGGCACTCGTTCAAGTTATTCTGTTCGAAACACTACACTAAGTATATATATACTTGTATCTTTGTTATATAATATTCAAATGTATGGTGGTTTACCTAGGTACTGTTACATTACTTTGTACGAATAAAAAAAATGCGATAAACATCTACAATACTCAATGCCAGTCATATACAGAGTACAGGTGAGGTATACTGATGAAAACTTGTCCGCTGAAAGGCCCGGAAAGGTCGTAAGGTCGTAAAACCTGTTAATTAAAACCCGATGAAAAGTTTGGATTCAGGAGGCTCAGGTCGAAATATATTCCACTATAATGTAAAGGGGTGATACACCAGAAGCAATTGAACATTCTCAAAGTTTGTACGTAGGTCCCCGTTAGTCCCTATTTGTGCATTGCTTATTTTTTATCGCTATTTCCAAAGAAGTACTGGATGGACCATTCTCCAATTTCAAATAAAGGGTCCCTCAATGGCCCCTTTTTGTGCATGACTGGCCATTAAAACAAATATGACCGACACACGACTAACTTTGGTTTTGACAGTTATCATATATTTCTTTTTATTAAAAAAAGTACTGAATTAGTTTTTTTTAATTCCATGAGTGGGATTCTGTTGGTCTCTAATTGCATATTGACTATTTTGGGGTTGAACAGAAACTCAAAATGGCTGACACGCAGCCATCTTGGAATTTGACAGTTTGTTTTGTGGTCTCCTGTAAAGAAACACTGGATGACTCTTTCTCAAATTTCTATCGAAATGTGTCCTAATATCGGCCTGGATAATGCTTAGATTTTATATAGAGGTTCCCGTTGGTCCATAGTAGCTTTCATGTATTGTGGATTTTAGCAGTGATCTGAAGGAAATCCCTCATTCTTAAACTTTAATTGCCAGTTTCCCATGTACAAAGATGTTGCTGTATATATAATAAATTCACATGTCAATACAACAAATAAGAAGCAAAGTATGACAAGATTTAACTGACATAGAACCAATAAATATCATACACTAGTGGACACCGAAATCCTCTGGAATCTCTTGTATCTACATAAACCATTGTTACAACTTTAATTTATCATTTCAGTTTTGTGCACGAAATATTTTTAAACTAAGAGAGAGAGAGAGAGAGAGAGAGAGAGAGAGAGAGAGAGAGAGAGAGAGAGAGAGAGAGAGAGAGAGAGAGAGAGAGAGAGAGAGAGAGAGAGAGACAGAGAGAGAGAGATAGGGAAAGAGAAAGAGAGAGACAGGGAAAGAGACAGAGAGAGACAGGGAGAGACAGACAGACAGACACAAAGACAGAGAAAGACAGAGAGAGAGACAGAGAGAGAGAGAGAGAGAGAGAGAGAGAGAGAGAGAGAGAGAGAGAGAGAGAGAGAGAGAGAGAGAGAGAGAGAGAGAGAGAGAGAGAGAGAGAGAGAGAGAGAGAGAGAGAGAGAGAGAGAGAGAGAGAGAGAGAGACAGACAGACAGACAGACAGACAGACAGACAGAAAGTGGTTTTTTTTTAACTAAAAGCAATAAAATACAGGACTCGAGGTGCTTTCGTAAGTTCGGTTATGTCCACCTTCACAAAAAAAGAAAAGAAAAAAAACAATGATATATTTTATATATATACTTTATCTTCATTTTGACAAAACGTTAAAACATTCCCGACAATGTTAAGAGTAGAGATAGCTAGCCACGACACAATTATGATGTACAGACTGACTTCTCAACTCAACTCTCCATACAAATGAAATGAATCAAACATATCGTATATCTAGCTTACTTGGTTTCTTTATCGGTAGTTTGTAGTATCAGATTTAAGCTGAACACCAGACACGAAAACCCAGTATTATATATATATAATATTCAAATAACATTTACTAGTAGTTTAAAATCACATTTCATCATATGTCTGGGGTGATTATTGTGTATACACGCAATATAGGAGCTCGTGAAACTGCAAAGTTTAATGAAATAAGTTAGGTTAGCATCTACCCTAAATATATATAATTTACATTACTAGGTATCACGCATGTATATCCGGTGTATCATTTTCTCTTCTTCAAACTAACACGGAAGTCTATCAGTGTCATTTTAAAAAAGAAAACACAAATCGGCGAGAATAATTTTTTCTAGGAGATGCAGGTTGATGAAAATTCTGGGGAAGTTTTCCCGGTCGTCATAGTGATCTCATTAAAAGATATTCTATTTGCTTGTGCGTTATGAAGCTGGGCATGTCTGATGCTCGTTAGTTTGCCTGTTGGTTCTGTTGTTGTATACCTTGTTCTCATTTGATAATTTGACATTACCTCCTTGGATTGATCAAGGTTTACATCGCGGGTGTCATCGATGAAGCGGAAGAAGCTTACTCTTCCGGAACACCTGGTCCTATTATCCTTGTACTTTATTCTGGTGTCTCTGTGTAAATCGTTCTTTTGTTCATATTTTGCCTTAGTTTTATCGAATCTGAGTTTGCATTATGTTGACATGCTGTCAAGTTCACATTGGAATGGCAAGGTTTGTGAATTGTGCTGGCAATACAGCTACAAGTGCTGTAGTATATGGTCTAGAAGCCGACATATATATTTCAGATAGCCGGCGTAATTTTTTCCCCAGAACGAATTGATCAAGTATTCTTTCGCATAGCAGTCCAATAACAAAATGGCCACAAGGCGGTCATCTTGAATTTCAGTGAAAAGTATATCGCTGTGTCTTAAATCATTCTTACAAGATGACCATTGATTTTTACAAGTGTAGCACCAATTTATTTGTAAAAAGGAAAAAAAATAAAAAAAGGATCGCCAGAATTGTGTAGTGGATATTGGAGCCGATGTTTCATGTCAAATGTTAATTTGACAGAATTCTACTCTACAATCTGGCGAAGTAGTCTGGTGTGATATGTTTCTAAATACAAGTGTAGTGGTTATAGGGCCACGTATTTCCTTTAGCCAGCCGTACAATCCATAATAGGCGAAATAGGACAGCATTCCTCGAGGCTGCCAACACATACTCATTACTACCCGGTGTAGATAACATCGAGGCATTGTAACCCTATAGGTACAATAATAGGCATCTGATATACAGCGTTCTGTGTAAACATGTAACAATCATTTAGAAAAGAGTCTCCGCATTCATCTGTCAAAGTGTGCCTTGTATGTTTTGTATAATATCGTCCAGAAGCCATGACTTCGCAAACATTTCTCTTGAACAAATCTAACATGCATATAACATTTATTTATCTATTGCATTAAATTCACATAACATGTATTGGAGCGTTCAGAAGACGTGACGTCGAACACATCAAAATCTGAAAACGAGTAGTAAACATAAACTATCCGAGTCTGGTCTGCAGTATTTTTGGTGTAGGGTCAGGGGGCGGGTCGGGGCCAAGTATAGGGACTAGTTGTGATGCTTTAAAATCTGTCTTCTTCTTTCGAGATGGGGATATTTTGCCCATATTTGGTAAGAAGTTAGAGGCATCCTTGAGTAAACATGGTAAAGGGGCAACGAATATTGTATAAAAATTGATGGAGCCCCACCCCACTTGATGTCAGAGGTCCTGGGTACCAGTAGGCGAAATAAAATATTTCTTCTTTTGAGATGAAGGAATATTGACAAAATTTTGCCTTATGTTTCACTGGGTTAAGGGGATCCAAGTTTGAACAATTCAAGTGTTTGGTCCCGTTGGAACAGACTGACATGGTCAAAGTGGATAATTTAGGATCAGCTTTAAGCTTCCTTAAGATTGGATAGAACACAAACCAAACCTATACAGGATCTACGGACCTCTTGATTATTATATAAAGGCAGACTTTCCATTCATAAGAATGGGATACAGCTATAAGATCGGTCCTGAACTATTGTTTAAATTTTGGGAAGATTTCCAAACAAACCATTGGTACAAGGTACATCCAAAGACAAAGTGTGCCTAGTAACCATGGCATCCCTTAATGTGATATACTTTAGCTTTTTTCTACTTTGTGTTGAATTGAGACTATTCTGTGACAAATAAATCAGTTAATAGTTCTTTCAACCACACAGAAATTATCATGTATCCTGCACAGTGTTGAATGTAAGCTTTATTCCAAGTTGAAATAAATGTGTTTCCATTTAAAATCAAATTGGATTCCTAGGGTTATATATTTTGAAACGTGCTTCGACACGAAAACTATATACATATTTAGTCACTGTATATTGGCCTATCAGAAGCATGACCGATATTTAACAAAAGGCCAAGAGGACCTGAACAATCACATTGACAGCAAAGAATGGTAGAAAACTATATTATCACCCTCATTTAGACCCCAGGTTGATGTTTAAGTATTTTATATAAAAGTAATCATTGTGATGTTAAAAAAGTCATTGTCATTTAATGTTGAAATTATTTTCAAGGTCAAGGTCACTTATATGAGGAAACTAAAGCATTTCATTCCAGGTACTGCATACATTTGCATTGGTTTTCCTGAACTGGATAAGAAGATTATTAAGTTTTTAGCATATTTGAACTCTGTGACCTAGAACAAAGGTCAAGTGTAAAACAAAGACAAAATAGGTGTTCTTTTGTTTATTAAGTCTCATTCCTATCATAGTGGGAGTTTTATCTATAAACAATAACTTACACTGGATAAAATTTCAACCATAGAAATTAACAACCACATGCACACCTTATAACATCCTTCCATTTAACTGATTAGAGGATATTTATTACAGTCTATCATTATGAAATATCACTCCAATTTTACAAATCAGCAAGAGGCCATTCGGTCTGAAATCATTGTCAGTTACATCTTTTTACATATTAAGTAACAATTTCACTTTGTGAAAATAAAAAATTATGCTTTTAATATGTCTGAATATGTTATTTTGTTTAATTGTTCATGTGAACAGGTGTAAAATATATACATAAACCATTTAAGCAGTACCTAGTACATGTATTGTTGATTGACAGTAACATATTCTGCATAATCAGATAAAATCAAACAAGCACTAGAGAATTTACTGTGGTACATCATAGTATTTCATAAAAACCAAATAATAATGTTCATATACAAATACAGTTCTATTGTAAACATACCCTATTCAGTATGTACAAGACAGAAATGCAAAAGTCCACATCAAATTTTCTAAAAAAAAAAAAAAAAATTTCTTCTATAAGATAAGAGTCAATCTTTTAAAGTGTTTACGGTAGTTTGAACATCTGACAGCTGTCATCAATTGCTGTAACCAGTACAGCATAAAACAGCCTGGGCTTCACACACTAGAAGGTAAAATGTCAAAATGAGCAAAACTCGCTGAGAATGATACACGAAAAATTTTGCTTCTCATACAAAAATAGATACCTTCAAAGATTCTCTTAAATATCTTCATTTACATATAAAGTGTATTTTGGCAGTATTCTAACAAAACAAATAATAGCACTTTCATCAGATCCTTTTAACATGGTTTCAACCAACCCTCTAACATGGGTGCCAGTATTGTTGATTTTGAAGATTTCCAACATTTTTGGGGGGGGAAATGAAATCCTCCTCTTTTTCTGTTATAGTTTTATGAATCATTGTGATATCTTTCGGAGTCTCATTAACATTCTAAACACCTGCACCAACTGAAATTTCACTTAACTTTGTGTTTGGAGATATGTTCAGAACCAAAGTAAGTTCTGTAATACTTTACATTATGTCCATCCTTAGTTTTACGTGAGAGAAACAGAATACTGGTAAGATATTCTGAAATATTCCAAAACGTTTTTGCTTTTGAACACACCCCTACAGTACAGTGTTCTATATTTAGCTGTACTTTCACTTTGTGACTTGGTGCATAGCATGAGCTAGATAATCCACTGTGCCCGAGGTAATTCCAGCCACTGATATCCGCCCATCCTTTGTTAGGTACACAGAGTATTCCTTTGTGAGTTTCTCCACCTAATATCAAATCAGAACAAAGGTTAGTGTAACGTAATCAATTACCATGGTAAGTCTAAAATTAGGAGAAATACAGGGTACTTAGATAATACCAAAGGCACAAATCAACTAAATTATCTCTTTAACACTACAATATAACTGACACTCATACCAAATTCATCATCACTGGTTTCAGTTTTTTCTTCATTCATTTTTTAATATATTTGTCTTTTTCAATAATAATCCTCAAGTATTCTGTTTTCAAGGCTAAATCTGAAAGAAAATACTCTAGATCAACCTCTGTTTAGAAGAATGTAATGATAATAATTGACTGACCTGGTCAGGTTTCAGTCCAGTGAAACAGAACATGCCGATCTGGTCTGTGATATGCTGCCAGTTGTGACTTGATCCTTCTCTGGCCAGACCATCCCTCAACCTGTTCCTCATGTTGATAATGCGGTCAGCCATACCCTTCACCTCACCGAGCCTGACAAACACAAAGTACTGGTACAGAACCAATGGGAGAATCTATTCTTCTGTTATGTATCCATTTTAGGATTCTCAATCCTCTTCACACAATTATTCATTACTATAATTATATTGTAAAGATACACTTATTAATAGTTTGTCACACATTGATGATAATATGACGTGGTTCTGTGGCTGCTTGGATAAACTTCTCAGTATCTCAGGATGCGGAAAAATGAAAATTTGATAAATGAATTTGTCATGACAAGTTTTCCCACACGTATCTATCTTAGTGTCTTTTGTATACGTAATCTCACCAACTGACTTATTGAAAATAACTACTGTGCCATTCCTAATGATCACAATAATTAAGATTCTTAATGAAACACAGTTTATGAAGTAAAGTCAAAATAAATTCTTAATTTGAAAGACCTCAAAACACTTTTTCATCAGCAACTGAATTATTGCAAAATTAAAAAAAAAAAAAAAATGGTCAGGAACAATAGCTTCTATTTGAAACATGTTCTAAAATTTTAAAATTTTAATCTTGACTTATCTCAATTCAAAAACAATGAATTCTTAACCACAAACATGCTTTGTTAGCTATGCCTGATAAAACTAATGATCTTCACTATGGTCTGAAGTGTTGAGTAATAACGTATGTACAGTACAAATTGAGTTTAACAATATCATGTATTGAGAACTACTGTTGTTGTAGTATTTTGTTTTCATCTCTTTATACATGATTTCACATAAGGAAAAATGATGTTGCATATGTTAATTTTGCCTTCAGGTATTACTTCTATGTAGTACAGGGAACGGTAGTTTACCCTGTGAGTACCTCAACATAAAAAACACACTTATCAAGTAGCCTGAGTGTTCCCATTGAATAGGCACAGAATCTTTGATACACAGGTGTTGGGATTAGAACCTTTGTCACTATTGTTAAACTCAGTGTGAATATATGTTTATTTAAGCAACAAAACAAGAAAATATGGCCGTGTCCAGTTGTTACAATTATATATATAAATATAGTTTAAATATTTAGTTCCAAGACCTCTGGTCAGATATGACAGGATGGCTGTAAATAGAGTCAGGTTTCACTGTACTATCAATAGGACATAATACCAACCAGATAGTTCTCAGGTCTGGGTTGGAGAGTACTCGAGCAGCAATACGGGATCCGTGGACGGGAGGATTAGAGTACATGGGTCGGATGAGAATCTTGACCTGGGACATAACTCTGTCTGCCTCCTCCTTCGTTCCACAAACAATACTAAAGGCACCAGCTCGCTCACCTACAAAGGACATGCAAGATATGTTGACAGGAGTTATCTCCCATTAAGAAACACTGAATATCATTCACAGAAAATGTTCTCAAGCCTTATTTATAAAACATAATTAGATCAAATATGCTTATTTCCTTCATGCCAAGAAAGTCAACACAACCATGTTAACACACTCAAAGAAAAATATGTTTTGAGTACAAGGAAAAATACGTTTTGAGTACAAGGAAAAATATGTTTTGAGTACAAGGAAAAATATATTTTGAGTACAAGGAAAAATAAGTTTTGAGTACAAAACTAGAACTGAGAGTGTTCGGAAAACATATGTAGCTGCTTTTTCAAGAAATAAAAAAAAAAGATGTTTTGATTACAAAGGAAAATATTTTTTGAGTACAAAGCTAGAACTAAGAGTGTTGGGAAAATATATGTAGCTGCTTTTTCAAGAAATATGGAAAATGATACAAGGAAAAATTATTTTTGAGTAAAAAACTAGAACTGAGAGTGTTCAGAAAATGTATGCAGCTGCTTTTTCAAGAAATATGGAAAATGATAAGCAACCTGAAAAAAAAAACACCCCGATATCAACTGATTTAAATTTGTTATGAGCCTAATATAAAGGGTAAAATGTGGCAGTATCATGGCTGTGTAGGCTTGATACCTTGAAAACTTATTTCTAGACAGTCCTCATTTCCAAACACTGACAACTGAATCACTGTCTAAAGACCCAGCCCAGCCTATTCTAAACATGATTTATCTTAACCTTACCATACAATCCCATGTTCTTGGCAAAAGACTGAGCCAAGGCAATCTGGTGTCCGTCCTCCAGGAACTGACGAACAGCAAAGGCGTCATTATCAATGTTTCCACTGGCAAATCCTTGGTACGCCATGTCAAAGAAGGGGAAGAGTTTTTGTTTCTTTATAAGAGCGCTCATCTCCTTCCATTGTTCTGGCTACAATCATAGACAGTCAACTTTAAATACAATAAAAAACAACATGGCTGACATTCAAATTATGCACAGGTACTGAAATATAAACTATCCATTTTAACAAAAAAAAGTGTTAACTGAATGTTTGAATAAGTAACAGAAATATTACAAGTTCATTCTTAAAGAAAGATGAAGTTGAAAAATGTTGAACAAGAACTACTGTGAATGTCTAACGATTTCTCTTTAAAAACTATTTATACACATATATCTAATATTGTACACGTATCAGCAGAGCGATTCCAAAAGCAACAATATCTTAGCAATCACATCGTGAGAATTACAGAAAAATGATGTACTACTCATGGTAGGTACCTTGTATCGTTTTTTTTTTATTATGTAGATTTTAATAGGTCATATAACACAGACCTAATAAACTTACCCTTGGGTCTACACCAGTAGGATTGTGGGCACATGCATGTAATACAATGGTACTTCCCTCTGGGATTTTCTGCAATCCAATAAAAGATTTTTTAATTAATGAATTTAAAACAACCGCACATTCTGAAAAATGCCAGAATTTTAAAGAATTCAAAATAAATCAAAACACATATGACTATTGTACTGAAACAATGTCTGATCAAAATACAACTGAGAAATAAAAAATTTTATGATATTTTAAAAAAGTGTATAAAATTTAAATGAAATGGTTTGAAAATTAAGGGTGAGGATCAAAAAGCTTATAAAAACATTAAAGGACAATAACTCTTCCTATAATTGTTGAACGGTAAAGCAGTTTTCAGAAAAATACAATTTCATGACGATGTTTTGAAGCATACCAAGTAATAAGGACATAGGTTAAAAATTGAAAGAGGTGATTTCTAAATGAGTTCAAATTATTGAAAATTCTTTTTTAAAAATAGGTAAATACATCATCCAAAAATTACACTGTTGCTAATTTTCAAGGCATTGATGTGGTCACAAAAATTTTATCTGTGAACAATCAATACGCATGTAAATTTCATCCGCAATATGAAGTGCTATTAAATCCTGTTGTCATATTAGTACTGCCACTAGTTAACTCAGATTTTTCAAATTATCTATGCTGGAAATTCGAGAAAATAATAAATTTATTAGGAATGGATTGATGCAGGGATTATACTATACAAGTTTGCAAATTTCTAGCTATTTTGTACCCTTTTAGAACTATTTTTACCGACTTGTAAAACTACATATAGCATCAAAATATCTTCTCAAGATCCTAAGGTCATTTTGAACAAGTGAAATTAGTGTAAGTACCCCCTTCCAAAATGAAATTACTGATAGATTGTCTAAATATACAGTAGCACACTTGCTAAGCCAAAACTCAGACAATGGCTGGATTACATATTATATGCAAAGTATTGGGTTAATACACAATGTGTGCTGTTCACTTGTAATGTCTGGCGATATCAAAATTCCACTGCCTTGTTTGGACTCTTTCTTGTCAATTTCAAGATATACACAAATATTTCACACTGTTTGGTTAATAAAAAATCTAACCTGATGAGGCTTAGTCATGGTCAAGCCAATGTTTGTAAACTGACCTAGCTAGATCTAAATAGAAATTCCACAAATCAAATATCATATGTTTGTTAATATGGCCAATTGAGGAGTACAGTTTCAATAAGAACATATATGTGATATTTTTTTATAAACAACATCATATGAAATCCTAACTTGAGCTGAATATCCTTTTAAACAGTGCATAATACAGATAATATATTTCATTATTCTAGAATATTTAACAAAATATTTTTAATGATACTGATGCTTAGTAGTTAAATCAACAATCACATATTTGAAACAGATGTACTAGTATCCTCTTATATTCAAATCATGAAAATTTTAATTTCAGGTTGAAAATGAAAATCATGAGAATTTTGACATCGCAAAAGCAACTGGTTATACACTAATAGAGATAATTGCTGATATACCTCCTAATTTCTGCTTTGGAATTTTAAGGACCTAATGTACTGATGTATCCCTAACATTCCCTTTCTTTCGCAGATGCAGAGTTTATCCTGTTTTTAAATCACTGTACCTTTAGCATGTATTTATATATTGCTTGAAAGCTGGAAAAAGACTTGAATCTCACCAATTCTGAGGCAACGGAGCACACTGGGGATATCACCCATTATTAGGTGAGGTACTTATACTTATTGCTTATATCCATCATATTTGGGGTTAGTTATTTTAATAATATAGTCTATGTATAAGGGGAGGTAACTTACTGATACATCTTGCTTACCGATATATCCTCCATAGCTCCGTTGAAATCATACCCACAGGTGCTTGGGTCATAGTATTTGTAAGACTTGACCTCCAGGCCTGAGTGTCTAAACAAATAAATCAAGATATACTCATAGAATTTCTTGCTACAATATAGGGTATAAACATTGATCAATATTGTTAATTCAAAGCTTTCATTTCATCTGTATGAAAGTTAAGTGATTTTTCAGTATAAACAAAATGTTTCTGATTAGCTAAGCTAGCTCTAGTAATATTCATCTATCATAATACATACTTGAAAATAGGTGTATGGTTTCCCCAGGACGGACTTGGAAGGTAAAACACGTTGCTTTTTGAGTACCACTTTGACTGTAAGACAATAACAGATGATACAAAATTAATGCATTGTTTATATCATACATATATTGCAGGCCAATCAACCTGTGAAATAAAGCATTTCAATTTAATAATAAGAATATCTCGTTTACATGTTATGTTTTCCTCATGAACTTTACATTCACAACTTTCGTTAAGTTAAGACCATACTCGTACAAGCAGTAATAGTAAAGGAACTCACGAAGAATGCACCCCCTATCCTGAGGGAACCTGTTCCTGATACACCCTGGACTGTTACATTCTGAAAAGTAAAAGAAAATCCAATCCAATTATACATAAAACTTTATGCTTTAGATCAGTAAATATGATTCTCCCTAAAACACGATTACAATTAGATCAGTAAATATGATTCTCCCTAAAACACGATTACAATTAGATCAGTAAATATGATGATTCTCCCTAAAACACGATTACACGATTACAATTAGATCAGTAAAAATATGATTCTCCCTAAAACACGATTACAATTAGATCAGTAAATATGATGATTCTCCCTAAAACACGATTACAATTAGATCAGTAAATATGATTCTCCCTAAAACACGATTACAATTAGATCAGTAAATATGATTCTCCCTAAAACACGATTACAATTAGATCAGTAAATATGATTCTCCCTAAAACACGATTACAATTAGATCAGTAAATATGATGATGATGATTCTCCCTAAAACACGATTACAATTAGACAATTAAAACACGATTACAATTAGATCAGTAAATATGATGATTCTCCCTAAAACACGATTACAATTAGATCAGTAAATATGATGATTCTCCCTAAAACACGATTACAATTAGATCAGTAAATATGATGATTCTCCCTAAAACACGATTACAATTAGATCAGTAAATATGATGATTCTCCCTAAAACACGATTACAATTAGATCAGTAAATATGATAATTCTCCCTAAAAACGATTACATTTAGATCAGTAAATATGATAATTCTCCCTGAAACACGATTACAATTAGATCAGTAAATATGATGATTCTCCCTAAAACACGATTACAATTAGATCAGTAAATATGATGATTCTCCCTAAAACACGATTACAATTAGATCAGTAAATATGATTCTCCCTAAAACACGATTACAATTAGATCAGTAAATATGATTCTCCCTAAAACACGATTACAATTAGATCAGTAAATATGATTCTCCCTAAAACACGATTACAATTAGATCAGTAATATATGATTCTCCCTAAAACACGATTACAATTAGATCAGTAATATATGATTCTCCCTAAAACACGATTACAATTAGATCAGTAAATATGATAATTCTCCCTAAAACACGATTACAATTAGATCAGTAAATATGATAATTCTCCCTAAAAACGATTACAATTAGATCAGTAAATATGATTCTCCCTAAAACATGATTACAATTAGATCAGTAAATATGATGATTCTCCCTAAAACACGATTACAATTAGATCAGTAAATATGATGATTCTCCCTAAAACACGATTACAATTAGATCAGTAAATATGATGATTCTCCCTAAAACACGATTACAATTAGATCAGTAAATATGATGATTCTCCCTAAAACACGATTACAATTAGATCAGTAAATATGATGATTCTCCCTAAAACACGATTACAATTAGATCAGTAAATATGATGATTCTCCCTAAAACACGATTACAATTAGATCAGTAAATATGATGATTCTCCCTAAAACATGATTAGGATCACTACAGCTAATTGGATTGAACGCTTTCGATGCTAAAAACTATTCACTAATTTTGTTTCAGAAGGGACAATCTATGGTAAACAAATGATAACATTTTATAACAGTTTGTTGATGATTTACCTTCAATGTTATCAAATACCAAGACCGATTAAATATTCCACCCGCCTTCCCATTTAGTATGAAGAGACACAAAGGTAACACACCCACGAAAAAACAAGAGGCCCATGGGCCTTAACGGTCAACTGAGTTCTTCAGGTCTCTGGACAGTTTTAGAACCTGTCCATCAATCCCATCATTGGGGCAGACAAAACAAATTATATATGCATACTTTTTTTTTTAGTTTTTATTGTTGCTAAGTTTTGAAGGCTTAATTTTCAATTAAAAGGAACTGACTGTCTGTAGTTTCAGTTTAGCACATTACAACACTGTGACCTTGAATGAAGGTCAAGGATTTGAACAATGAATGGGCATGCTACTAGCCAAATATCATAACCCTGGTCATTTCTTATTGAGAAGTTGTTTAAAAATTCTAACACATTTGACCCCTGTGACATTGAAAATGGGTCAAGTTCATTCAGTTGAGCAAACTTGGAAGCCCTTCATCCCAGCATGCTACTAGCCCAATATCATGACCCTGTGCTTTTTTGTTATTGAGAAGAAGTTGAAAATTTAAATTGTTTCCAACGCACAACGGACATTTGATCTTATGAAATGCAATTAGTGAATCTTACTCTGCCTTCTTTAATGACTGGACTGTCATCCCCGAATGCTAACTTTGCAGCCTCCTTACAGAACTCTGGTGGTCCAGTGATGGGGGCATACTCATGGTCCACGCCTTCCCTCAGCATCATCTGCTCGGCCTGAAAATTCAGAAACATTAGAAGTGTTTAAACACACAATATATACAGCATTCATATAGTGTTTTTTCATTTAATAAATCTTAACATTTTAACTGGTCATTCTTCATATCTACAGTTTGCTGGTTTTCTGGGATTTATCACCCCCTGAACAGTCTGGGTGAATTTGAGGCATAATCTTCTTGTACAAGCTGGTGGGCACCATACTGAACACGGCCATTATGGAGGCTTGCAACATGCTATCCTGTGGGACTATGGTAGAGTGCCTTCCCCAAAACAGTGCTATTACATTGTCTTTGGTCAGTCTGTACTTTTAGTTTCTAGAAGAAATCTATAATTCTATCAATCATTGTCACTTTTGACAGAAAGCACTGACACAATGTACATTCCAAAATACCTCTTTGACGCATTCCAGGATGAAAGGTTTCCCACTGTCATCACGGTAAGCTCCAACACCCAGGTTCATCTTTTTAGGGTTGGTGTCACGCTTGTATGCCTCTGTGACACCAAGAATGGCGTCCGGTGGACCCATTTCTACGTTTGCCCATGTTGAGCTATAAATGAAATAAAATGATGATAATTAATCACCTGTGAGAAAAAAACCTTCAAATTGTTTTTCTGGAGCTAATAGCTTCATGCATGCATTGTACAAAATCACAAACCTACCATGATCAAAAGCAAAAGCAATTTTAAAATCACACATCATAGAATTTTTTGGGAAATTGCTTTCTAGGTCAATGAAAGCTTTCCTATAGACCAGAGATCCCAGCAGGATCTTGGAGCTCACCATTGTTTGATCTTTATTTGTTCTTTGAATGTTGGATATTTTCTCTTCACTGTTTTTGCTCTTAATGATAGGAAATTTGATCATTTCAGGGCTCTCGATCTGTCAGATTTGGGGCCGATATTGGGCCCCATTCCCAATGCAAAATAGTATCTATTTTTCCCAATTTAGACCCCAAGTTTTCCCAATTCTAAGGAAAACACCATTATTTTTCCCAATTTTAAGGGCCCAGGACCCCAATCCCAAAACGGGGTGTGAGAGCCCTGCATTTACCCTTCTCAGAAATAGTGATGATAATCTTTAACTGCCTGACGCATCTGATACGTAAACTGATGATCAAATTTCAAATACACAAAATACTTATACAGAGGAATCCCTTCTTGTATTAACAAAATATGTCAGAATTAAAAACGCATTTCTAGCTCTCACTTTACTTGTCACTTTTACTTGATATATGCATATCCACATACATGTGACGAGACCTTGAGTTGACAGATACTGCATACATTGCCAAATTTTTTGTTCGTGGTTTTTAAAAGATAATTTTATTCAGATAGCCAGCTATTTCATCTGATATTGATGTACATCCAGATTGTATTTTAAAACTTAGAAATACCATAATACTGTATAAATAAGAAGGAAATATCTGTTTTACCTTATAAATCCTGCGGAAAAATACAAAGTAAATTACTTAAAATTCTAAAAAGTAACCTTCACATCAATGTTAGATGGATCTTGTGTTAGCTGTGTATATAGTCTTATGTAATCAAAAATATCCGTTTTTCAGTTGGTAAATCCAGAACTGTTATGTTTTTACAGTATGCAATAAGATACTGCAATCATGAAACAAACAGAATGTAACTATATATCACTTTATACAACTAAAATATAGATAAATGATGTAACAGGGAAATGGAAGTGTTAACTTTAAGCACAATAACCTATATTTAGCCGTGAACACGACTTAATAACGTGGTCTGATGACAAAAACCGTTAGGTGCAATTGCGGAAATTTCATCTCAAGAAAAACATGACAACCAGTATTCCTGAGGATTTAACGTTCAATTATTTACCTGAGCTTAGTCGATGCAACAAATGTTGCATTTTGTGGGAACAGTCTGGAAATCTTGGACAATTGTCTGACAGCCATGCTTGAAGGTCAGCCGGTATGCAAGGGAAGCAACTCCGAAGTCAAACGGAAAAGAACGGATATTATTTCTGTTACAACCAATCGATGATGTTTCTAAAAATAGAACGGGAAACTCCTGTTCGGAAAGAGACCTACACGAGGAACGACAGATATGACGAGAGATATGTAGTAGCTGATGCAGGGTATGCATTTCCTTATTGTTATTATTATAATTTGAGAGCACACTCTTTGTTTGATGTGCCAGAGACATCATATTGAGGTCTCTTGCAGTATCCACGAGAAAGATGTCCTACAAAATGGTGTGATATTGATGTCGCTGACATAAAAGTCAGAAACGCCAGTTCAAAATGTTAGAGAACATGGTTTAATCTTAGAATCGCGCGGAATCAAGAAAATATACTATAAAATTCTGTCAGAAGCCAATCAATATCAAATTTATGTTATCTAGCATATTGAGTTAATAGTAAAATAAACTTACCCTACCAGCCCTTGGAAAGTCTACATTCATATATTGTCCAGTTGTTGTAGTAAAGTAGAATGTTGAAACATTGGATTATGCAGAGACATATATAACATATATACGTCTTTGGATTATGTAATTACTTTGTAGCAAATTTGCTGTAACAGCCAGATCTGCCAGATTTCCCAATGCAAAATAATATCTTTTTTCCCAATTTAGACCCCAAGTTTTCCAAATTCTAAGGAAAACACCATTATTTTTCCCAATTGTAAGGGGCCCGGGCCCCAGTCCCAAAATGGGGTGTGAGAGCTCTGTAATAGCTTAGTATAGCTTAGTTGATACTGAACGCAGGCCTTATGCCTCTATGTTCAAATCCGAAACCTTGTCACAATCCATTGGTTTAATGTTGTCACTTCTGGTTGGAATAAAGATTTTATATGTTCTATCCACACTTTTCCAATATTCATCAAGCCTGTTTTCAAATGAGTTCAAAGTTGGTGCCTGTACTATATCTTCTGGTAGAGAGTTCCACTCATTTACCACCCTTTGAGAGAAAGAAAACTTCCAGATGGTAGTATTGATTAAAAGGTAAACATTAAAACTAGATATATTTTGCCTCAATAATTGTTAGTTACAAACTAATTAATAAAATGTGTGATAACCAAAACCTATCTTCACCAGATATAAATATCAACATTGAATGCTTGGAGTAAATATATATATGTAACCCTGGGAAAATACTAGCTGCAATATACTACTTGGCTAGAGAGAACTTTTCTTTAGCTGGATTGATTGAGCATCAGACTAGTAAGCCAGGGGTTCCAGGTTCGATTCCTAGTGGAAATAAATAAATAATGACCTCTGTTACATATAGAAGAAAAAGGAACAGAAAATGTAACTCATCCATAACTTACAAGTGGAATATAGAGACACGGTCAGTAATACCAGGTGGATATGTTCTTCATTGAGGCATGCACACTCCATATGAACTTGATACCTGAAAGGTATACCGGATGATTAATTAAATATATAAATATATTTAAAAGGGTAAAGTTAATTGCAACAAAATCATGTCACCAATAGGTGAAATACTCAACTTTATGGAAAGGTATCGCAACTTGATCTTGATACCAACCTAAAGATTTATGGCTTAATTAGGGAGTATACTTTAATCTTATATATTTAGAAAATAGATAAACCCTTCCCCACACCTATCTGTTAGCCATTTCTAAATTTATATCTACCTCTACCTCGATAGAATCAAACATTTCTGATAAAGCTGTACAACATACACACAGATTCCTATAATGCAGACATTGTGCATATATCGTGCACACATTGCACATCATGTAACATGCGATCCCATATCCAGCGATTCAGCAATTCAGCTCATTATTTGTAGCCGTGATGGCCAAAAAATGAAAAGCAAAAATTAGAAAAAAATTCTGTAACTGATTGTCAAGAACTTAAAAAAGTCCATAAGACACTGAAACTTAATTATTTGTTAGTGTTTGTATAATTTTATACCTACCTAAGAAATTTTTAGCTGTTTTCTTTGATAGCAGGTGTACTAGTTTAAAGAACAATTAATAAGGCAAAATGAAATTCTGAATTACAAAGTGATTTTTTTTGCATTATTTCTTCCAACAGGCCTTATTATAACGTCAAGACAATGTTTGTGTTACAAAGATGGACAACGAGTAGAGTACTCAGATGGACAACAAGTAGAATACTTGACCAGATTTTGAATAGAACAAAAACTTCCCATGTGCGGTTCTCAAGTCAAAGTTACAGATGGAGTCTCCTGTCTTCTGTCAGTGTTTGTGACTGTAACTGTACAAAGTATTTGCCTCATTCAGTTTCTAACCAGAAACTTCAGATATTGAGGCAATGTGCAAATTTGGTACCAAGTTATTGGCATGGTGTAAGATCAGAAGAGAAAGTTGAATATGCTAAAAAAATGTATGAGAAAATATTGACTTCTTTACCTGAAAGGACGCTTGTAGTATACACAGATGGTTCTGTATTAGACGCTGAAGATAGGGTAGGGCCATGCGGAGTTGGGGTTGTTATTTATCGTCAAAGTGACAATTTTAAAGCAGAATTGTCAGTTCCTGTGTCCCCCCGAGCCTCAGTGGATGTAGCTGAATACACTGCGGTGGAGACAGCTTTGTCTCACATAATTTCAAATATCAATCTTCGAGAAGTGGACAAAATCCAGATATTTTGTGATAACCAAGCTGTGATTAAAGGATGCTTTTATCAAATATATGATGTGGAACATCAAGCTGTTGTTAGAAGTATAAGAAAGAAGTGGGATGATATCGTATCTGAAGGTATAAGTGTAGCTATGGACTGGGTGCCATCAGATTCAGGAGTGGATGGAAATGACCTCGCTGACAAGCTAGCCTTACAGGCAGCTAAAAAGGCAACCAGTCTTCCACTGGAGTCAACTCTCATCACAGAAAGAGATGTGCAGCGATCCATGAAACAGTATACCACTATAACGGGATCTAAAGGACGTCGCAGAGATTACAGTGAAAATGGTTTGTACACAACTACCGGTAAATTAGAATATACTATTTATAGCTTGTTTCAGTCTTACTTGAATAAGACTGATCAAAATTATATATATATATATATATATATATATATATACAATGAAGAATGGAACTACATAGTTACTATACAATAAGCCCGGGGGTCTGATAATATATCCGACTTGTTGTCAGGGTATCGGATTATTACTAGACAATTAAATAACATTTATCGCTTATTTTGTTCCTGTAAAATGGCAGTTAGATATGAATGGGTTTATCACCAGACACATCCTTGATTCTCTAGAGGTTACGATCACTTTAGCTCTCTGTAGACTTGGAACATTTCCCGACAAAATTAAATGAGAAAAAAAAAGACTGATCACAGACTGATATGCTTCTTTGAAGATTACAACGTAGTAAAACCTAACTTCAAAGTCAATTTCACATACTGTTTCATGTGACCTCAAGGTTGCCGCCACACTGTGGAATAACCTACCATCACAAACCAGGAAAGCAACAACAATTGCCACTTTCAAAAAGGGTGTTAAGACCCATCTGTTCAGGTGTGCTTTTTCTTAGACTTGTAATGTTTTGCTACAGGTACATACATGTGGTGTTATTCTGGTGATCATGTGGACACAATGATCAGCATATCATACATATATGTAGATGTATAATGTGTTATTGATACCATGACTGAAATTTTACATGCACTGTAAAGTGCCTTAGAGTAATTTGTGAAGTTATATAGGGTGCTATATAAATGTTGTATATTATTTTGATGTACATCAAATGATCAAACTGGTCTTCTCTCCTTATCCACAATGTGCCGTACATGGAACCTTCAATTTTTGTCATGATATGTTCCAAGGATGCAGAGAGCAATAGTGAGTGTAACCCCTGGAGTATTGAGGATGCACCAGACATAACCTATTGCCAGATCAGTACAATTTGGTACCAAAATATCAGCTAATCCACAACAAAAACAAAACTATAACATTGTACGGCTATTGTCACATGTACCAAAACAGTCACTGCGACCTACTTTTTGTATCTGTGTAGGACACATATGGAAACATTACTTACTTAAAAAGAACATATATAGTCATATTGAAATTCGGACATAGTCAAAAGTTGCTATTAACAGGGTACTTTTATTAGCAACTGGATATTGATAAGACCACTGTGCATGTGATTACTGATACATTGGTTTTCTGTATAATTTTTCACCGGAGATTATTAATTCATTTCTGATCTTTATAACTTTCTAATAATTTCTTAGAGAAAAAATAAAAAATTATTGTCTTCATTTCTGTTAGAGAATGTTGAGAGGTAACATTTTACATTGATAATCTACCTTTCCAGTGATGCTTGCCATCTTGATGAAAAATTCTAAAGGCCAGAAAAAGACAGCAGAAGCGAACAATAGAAGCAACCTAAGTGAAGTGGAGACCGACGTTGATTTTGGTAAGTAGCATCCAAGTTTCAATTCATTTCAATAAAGTCATGGTTCAGAATAGATCCATGTACTTGATATTATTCTTAAATTTATCTGATATATAAAAAATTACGAAATTTACTTAATTATGGGGCTGCAGCACCTCCCTGTCTATATTTTGACTTTCTTTCAATCACTGAAGATTTTCCTCTGTTGCCTCCTAGGCTTCAAAACTTTGCATCACTGACAAGCCCTGGAAGGACAAAACGGCTGCAAGTTTAATTCACTGTTTAGCACTACTGTATCTAACTCTAAATTTGTATTAAAAGGTGATATTCACTTGCATTATGAAAGGAATCTTGACATTTGATAATATTTTATGATGAATTCTGTTATCCATGTTTATGCCTTTGTTGAGAAAGAATTGATGATAAAGAAATAAGTTTTCTCCTGTGTTCGCTAAAATATCTTTAGTGTTATTGTTTAGCCATTGGATAAACCTACCTATGGAGGTTGCTTCAGTATTATGTCTTGAAAAGAACTTTATTTTCCAGTTAGAAACTGTTGTGTTTTTTTTTTTGTGTTTACATCAAGTATTTACAATATCACCAATTATGTATCATTACCTATGGTAAAATATGTATATAATTCCATGTAACATTAATCCGCTTTCGCCTTGAATTATTGTTTTGCATTGTAGTTGATATGAATAATCGTAGAGTGCTGTTTACGGGAATGACTCAGGACAAGCTGTATCAGATGATGTCTAAAGCTACATTGCACGGCTGCTCTGTAGATAGGAAGTTGTCCAGTGCCACAGACTTTGTTGTTTATGGAACGTGTGACACATCACAGAAAGACGATGTTAAGAAGCTTGCTTATAAACTAGGTAAAATTTAATCATTATCCTTACAATTGGATAATAGGAAAGGATAATGATAATAATAACATTCTCTGGAGGTCGGTCAGTCTGTCATACTTCTTTATCTGCACAATTAACCGAGCTCTTTTTCCTATCAGATTTTATCTATTGTATTTGATCTATTTCCAGGGCTCTTGATCTGCCAGATTTGGGGCTGATATTCGGCCCCATTCCCAATGCAAAATAGTATCTTTTTTCCCAATTTAGACCCCAAGTTCTCCCAATTATAAGGAAAACACCATTATTTTTCCCAATTCTAAGGGCCCCGGGCCCCAGTCCCAAAAGGGGGTGTGAGAGCCCTGATTTCCGAAGAGAATGTTTGCCCGAATGTCTACTTGGTTTCCACACACAGTCTCAAGTTCTGTTGGACCAATTTCCCTCAGATTTCATGAACTCCTCCCTTGTGGGAAGTGCTTGCTCCAGACGGTATTTCAAGTTTAAAGGTCATAGGTCAAGGACACTGTTGCTTTAAATTGAAAATTGGCCTCTGCACTTTAAGCTGAGGTCTGTCAGGCAAACTCCTCTCAAACTACAAAAATTCCTTGTTTGCACCAAATTGCTGGCTTGGAATTGTTTTCCAAGTTTGGAGGTCAAAGGTCAAGGTCATTGTTACTATAATTTGGAAATAAGTTTTGCACACCTTGAGTTCAAAACTGTCCAACAAAAAAAAGAAGATGGTCCAAATAAAACATTACCTTAATTTAAAGTTTACTTTTAATTCAATGATATAAACATCAGGTCTAGTCCTGGGTCATTTTCAGTTAGTTTTAGGTATGAAAATACCACATGGCAGTGGGTCCGCTGGTCGAGATTTTCTGATGTCAGGGAGCTGATTTGGGAATAACGTCACCTCGTACTTTTTCTCTCATTCAGTGCACTATTCCTCTGGGCTTCTACTATACTATACTATAGTACATAAGACAAATCATGGTTACATACATCAGAACATTGGTGTGAGACGATATATCGTCATTCTTCTATTTGTATTAAGGGGAATGTTGTTATTGATTGTCAAACTAATTATTGGGTATCAGTATTTCTTAGTTTTATCTTGTTTTATCTTATATATGTGCGATGTACTTACATGTATCATAATTTCTATGTTCCAGTAATTTAATTTCGCAAATTTCATGATACACATGATAAAAGTTTACTGCAAATCAATTACATTAAGTGTGGGATTTATTTTCGCGTTAATACGCAAGAAGAGTCAATCATTAATTCAAATCACTTTTGATTATTTTTACAAAAATAACTCTTGACGACATCCATGCTGATTCGGTTACTGTTATACATCTAACAGCCCATCGTTCGCAAATTTAAAATAATTTCTAAATCACTGTTCTGGAAATCATGTATTCACGAATATGTTTGAAGAGGTTAGTTCGCAAAATAAAGTATTTGCAAAATCTAAGTGATTTACAGTTCAAGATGTTCTGTATTTGTATCTCATACAGGTGTACAGTATGTTAGCAGTGAAGATTGGGAGAGAGCACTGAGCAAATGTGTTAAGGTTGGGCTGCCAATCTTCTCCGAGGAAAGTTATGACAACATGAAGCAGCAAAAGAAAAGACATCGTAATTCTGACCTTCAAAATAAAGGCAACAAAATTGAAAAGAAGGGCAACAAAGCTATTCAAAAAAGGTGAATTTCTATATATTGTTATGTACTCATAATGGGATGGTTTAGTGTTAGTAATTCTGTTTGGCCATTTTTGTATTTTAAATTCTGTTTAGATGCTAGATTTTGTCTTTATTCAATTTAATGCAAAATTATTATTTCATTCATTCTCCTGTTCAGACAATTTTGTTTTTATTTTGCATTACAAATAAAAATAAGTCTGCATGTACTGATTGACAATCTAAATACACATGTTAATAGTCTTTCCTCCTGCCATGCTTGACTCTTGTAACCATGGCAACCATAATATGATTGTCCTTTTCTTTTTTGTTGCAGAAAAGATAGATAATTTATTTCATTTTTAAGATGAACTTTCAACACTTGGGCATAAAGGAACAGTATTCAAGCCTGTCAAACCCATCATATTGAATGAACACCTTCATGTTTGATGAACCCATTGTGATGGATGGACAGTGACCCATTGTGATGGTGGACAGTCTATGGACCCATTGTGATGGATACAGTCTATGGACCCATTGTGATGGTGGACAGTCTATGAAACCATTGTGATAGACAGTCTATGGACCAATTGTGATGGATGGACAGTCTATGGACCCATTGTGATGGATACAGTCTATGGACCCATTGTGATGGATGGACAGTCTATGGACCCATTGTGATAGACAGTCTATGGACCAATTGTGATGGATGGACAGTCTATGGACCCATTGTGATGGATGGACAGTCTATGGACCCATTGTGATGGACACTCTATGGACCCATTGTGATGGATGGACAGTCTATGGACCCATTGTGATGGACACTCTATGGACCCATTGTGATGGATGGACAGTCTATGGACCCATTGTGATGGATGGACAGTCTATGGACCCATTGTGATGGTGGACAGTCTATGGACCCATTGTGATGGTGGATAGTCTATGGACTCATTGTGATTGATGTACAATTTATGGATCCGTCATTTTGAATGTAAAACTCTTGGAAACAAACATATTATATTATTTGATGAGAGTTTAATAATGATTTACCATCAATTTTTGAAATCCCATCTGTCACAATTTTGACTATGAAGCAAACCAGAAAATTAAAAAAATAAAAAGGAAATTGAAAAAAATTGAATTGATGTGATTTCTTTGTTTCTTTGAAGGTTATTAGGCACAGAAGCAGTACCTTTCATCATCTAATTTATGAACAAGTTGTGATTTGGTATTGTTCAACTCTAGAATAAGTTTTGTTTATCAAGTACCAACAATCTCATGTTGGGGAATCCCAACAATTGCCACCTGGACATATATAACTTAATCACAAACAAAATAAATATGTGATGAATCTCAAAAAGTGTGAGTGCCATATTGATTTAGTAAGAATAAGTAGTGATAATCCTAAAGTGTCCATATTTACATATTGTACTCCTATAATGATACACAGATCTGAAAATAACAGCCGTCTGTTTTACAATCCAGTTTGAGCCCACCTGAAGGACTGCCAACCTTATACCATACCCCAGGTATCATTCACATGTCAAACTTTTACTACAAATTACTACTAGTCATGAACAACTGAGCAGATCTTGACCAAATTTGGTCAGATGCATCCTTTGGGGAAGCAGAGAAAATTTTCTTTAATGCTGGGTCTTTGCCTCCCGACGTGGGGCTAATAGAGAAAATAGAAATAATTCCTTAAAATCTTACTTCTCCTGTAGGGATGATTGGATTTTGCCCAAATTTGGTGTGAAGCTTTCTTGGGTAATGGGAAATTTTGCTTAGATTTTGCATGGTGCATTTTTGGGTAAAGGGGAGTACATCTTGTGTAAACACTGGGTCTTGATGAGAGGAGGGCAGGGCCCAACAAGGAAAACAGAGCAAATTCTTTAAAATCCTACTCCTTCTGAAGGAATTTTGCTCAATTTGGTCTGACACATCCTTGAGTAGATTGAAATCAGTTTTGTATAAACAATGGGTCTAGGCCCTTTTGAATGGGAGAGGCAGAACCCACTGGAGGGGTAATAGAGCAAACACTTGAAAATTCTTTTTCAGGAATGGTCAGATTCAATCCCAACTCGGTATGAAGCATCAATTGTTTGGCTGACTCCCTAAGGACAGAAGAATGGGGCCAAATGGGGACATATAGTGTGTGTTGTGAGACAGGGAATTTAGAAATCAATTTCCATTAGTTTGGATGAAACAACTTCTGCCAAACAAAGCAATGTGAGAGATACAGGCCTTCTGGGCCTTTTATCTATATGATAGAATTTTAAAATTAAATTGAATAAGGAATAATTGTAACAGTTTAGGAAGCACATAGTAAACAGGATTAATATTCACTGTGATAAATTAGTGAAATAACATTTCAACGTGCTCTGATTAGGTGACTGTTTTTTTTAGAAGTGAATAAATAGGTTAAATCTAGTATTAATTTTAATTCATTCTGAGAATAAATTATAAATGTTCATATTTTTGTGTTTTGTTTAAGCAGATGACATTTAGATCTGGATGAGTGAGGGGTGTGACCTCTGTGTGAGTAATTAGGTTGTGACGACCTCTGTTCGAGTGATTAGGTCATTATGACGTCTGTGTAAGTGATTAGGTTATGACGTCTGTGTGAGTGATAAGGTTATTACAACCTCTGTGTAAGTGATTAGGTTATGACCTCTGTGTGAGTGATTAGGTTATTACAACCTCTGTGTAAGTGATTAGGTTATGACCTCTGTGTGAGTGATAAGGTTATTACAACCTCTGTGTAAGTGATTAGGTTATGACCTCTGTGTGAGTGATAAGGTTATTACAACCTCTGTGTAAGTGATTAGGTTATGACCTCTGTGTGAGTGATAAGGTTATTACAACCTCTGTGTAAGTGATTAGGTTATGACCTCTGTGTGAGTGATAAGGTTATTACAACCTCTGTGTGAGTGATTAGGTTGTTATGACCTGTGTGAGTGATAAGGTTATTGTGACATCAGAAGATGCTCCCTTGAAGATATTGAACCTGGGTAGTTGTTGTCTTAGAGGTCAAAGACTTTGTGAATGAGGGAGTAGTGTAGAAGTTGAGAGCATAGGTCGCCTTACTAACTTCAATTACATAAGAGTTATTTCAATTTACAAATTGAAAAGGGATGATAGATTATTTGATGTCGATAAATAAAGACAGAAAAATAATTTACAAAGGGAAGCTTTGTTTTCAAGATTGAAAAATAATACCCTATATAATTAAAAAGTGTGATATGAGTCATCCCATTAAATTCTCCGGTCTGTGAAATCATGTTTCCCGCTTGTGGAACATTATCCCAACTGCGCCCCATTTCATAAGCGTCTGTGTGACACAGATGAGGAAGATGAAAACAGGAAGCTGAAAGGAGGAAAGGGGAAGAGAAAAGCAACAACTTCAGATAAGGTCCAAAGATGATGTTTTAACAGGCAATGGAGCGTCGAGATGGACTTATTCAATTAACACTGGTTACACATTCACTCAGATATATCTATTTAAACATTAACAGAACTTCTCAATAATCAGGTTATTCAGTTCCGGCATCTCGATTATCGAATTATTAACTTTCATGTAAACCCTGCTGAAGTTGGGTTCGGGAGGTCTCTACACATCTATATTTTATAACCAAGATGGATACTCCGAAAATTCTACCCATCAATTCACGTATATCTGCCAAGAACCAACAGGAAAACATAAAGAAAGTAGCAGTGACACGATCGGGAGAACAGGCCCTGTTTCTGGAGCTTGATCAAGTGGGTAGTCTAGTTTTCTGACGATTTGTTGCTTATATATTTTTTTAACGTGCTTCATAGCAATATCACATATATAAAATCACAAAACTCTGCCATTTTATTTACAAGTGCTTTCAATGTCAAATCTATCCAAAGGGATCTGATCATGATTAATCAACTGCCATTCTTTTCTAATCTTTGAGCAGTCGATATAGAAATATAACAGAGAAGTCCGAATCACTCGGACTAATGTCTGTTCTGCCTCATGACCTGATCAGAATTAATTAATCTTGTTAACTGGCGTTATTAATACCACGAGAGAAAGCTATGAAATATATATATAATGGTATTCTAGATAGCAAAACTGCAAATGTTTTGAGGATAATATTTGATATTTTCAACAGATATCGACCAGTTAGAAAAAATAAGTGTACACAAGACTTTACTTCAGTAAAATGGTCGTCTTGCCAAGTTCCAATTCTTGCCATTGCGTAGGGAAATGGTTATTTTCACATATTTTGACAATATTTTTTTCAGAAATTTTTTAAATTAAAGCATTGTTATGAAAAATCTGCACACGCTAATATTGTGATCTTATGGAGTTCAAGAAAGTCCATGTATTTGAGGACTAACGAAAATTAATACTTCATTTGTGAAAAATAGGTTGGCATCCATTATTTAAAGCAAGCTTAAATTGCCAACAGTTAAATGTTACATCATTGAAGGATTGTAAATCTTTATTGTCTTGCTATAATAACTAATTTACATTGGTTTTAATTGGGTAAAAATTTCTACCAATTCATTTGCATTGGAACAGATTACAGAACCTGAAATTCATATTAATACTGTTGTATATTATTTCAAAATTTCAGAATAGACCACTTGCTGCAATTATACAAGACATTTCAGAAAGGTAAAGTCAAATTTAAATTATATATCTCAAGTTCTTTTGAAATCAAAATAAAGATTTAAGAGGGGAGAGAGTCTCTGAGTCAATGCCATAGTTAAGACCTTGAGTTCAGTATCCTCATAAAATTTTGTCCTCATGCAAGTGGGTTCTCAATCGTTAACACTGTTAGACAAGCAAAGTATATCTTTATCATACAATGCTTACTATACAAAAATAAAACACTTGAATAATATATGCTTATCATATTGCAGGCGAATGAACAAATCTACCATATAGAAGATATTTATTAAAGAAATTTTCCCATGATTGTAATATTGTTACAGTTTCTGCATTCAGTAACTGGATAAGCTTTCCTTAACAGTATACATTTTCACTTGAAGTTAACACATGTTACTAGTAGATTTTGGGAAGTGCGTTTGCTAATTTTGATATACATTTACATTGTATGTCACTGAAGTGCTTTCATGAATTCAAAGTAATTTTTCATTGTATCTTCCAATACATGGAAGTAATTAGGCAAATATTTATTGGAATGTCGATTTTATTTAAAGTGTTTGATTTTTTTCTCAGATGGAATTTGGCAAATCCTGATGACTATGCCCTGCAGTTTTCAGAACCAAACAGACATACGTATATCACAGAAAGGGTATGACTCTAATTTTCATTCTAAGTTGAAGAATATCATGCTACCTGACATACTGGTAGATGCTAATAATTTTTCTTATTGCTTTGAATTTTGTATGTATATAAATGCAGTGTGTGTTCTGAGTAAACATCCAAACTTATGGTTGCCATTCCTCATTTCAATAATAATAAATTTTATTTATTTTACATTAATTGTGAAACAAGTTTTTCCGACTTATATTAATCCCTCTTGTTGGCCCAGATAGAAGTGCCCAAGGGGCCTTACTGTGGTAGGAAACAGAGTACCAGGGAAAAAACCCATATGGTCGGGAAGGTGACCCCATACCTTTTCATATCCATTCTGGGAATCAAACCCCGGACAGCTAGGTGAAAGGCGAGTGTGTTACCACTGTGCCACCCGACCACCTATTTCAAGTGTATCTTCTTTTGAGCAAATTTGTGAAACTATATATTATAAAGACCTAAGTTATTTTACAGGTTTTGTAGTGTAGAGCTCTTACATGTCCCATTAAGTCCTTATTTTAGTGAAAGATATTGGTCGATGGGATAACTGCATGTTTATAGTACTTATAAATGTCTACAAACTTACATACATATTGTGCTGATGGAATGATGAGGTAAATTGAATTCGAACATACTATTCTGTCATGTTGCTGATATGTGTCTGACACCACATGTGATCTCTGTTACGTTGACTCCCATGTAGGGACTTGGGAATAATACTTAGCCATGCCCCAATAGCATCACTAAAACCCTTGGATATTGGAGGGCGAGTTATTTCCTGGAGGGGGAGAATGTAGCCCTGGTAAATACTAATGCAATATACTGCTTGGCTTGAGTGTCAGACTTGTAAGACAGGGTTCCCGGGTGCGATTCCCAGCAGAGGCATTGAAATAAATAATGACCTCTGTTTACACATGTAAAATCCATCACTTCCTCTTTGTCTTTGTACATAATTTTTGGTTAAATTTTTAGCCAAAGACACTGCCAAGATTTCATGTGATCTTAAAAGGGTCTTGTAGTTATGAAGTCACAAAATAAATGGTCTTTATTTATTTTCAGAATCGATCGGAAATTTCCAATGGCAATGTGCTCCAGCTTACCTCCTCACCGGTATGTACCATCTGTGAGCTGTAAATTAATGTTTCAAACCAACTTAAGCCTGAATTAGAAGAGAGAAGATTTAGAAGAGAATTAAAAACAAATAATTCCGATAAACCATATTCAATTAAAGGACTTTGGATTTGCAGAAATCTCAGAACAAACAAAATCACCATGATATAGTTCTTGTTGTCTTCATGGTTGATACAAATGAAAAAAATGTTTTCCCTTGTAAGAGATATAATTATAACGTATTGTCGTTGATTACAACAACTTATCCAGGCAAAGACAGCCTCTGGTATTTATACCAAGCTCAAGGAAGGAAAACCCGAGGAGCGACTCGAATCCCTCAAAACATTGGCAAGTTTGTCATCAGACAGCACATTTGCAATGGAGTTCATTAACAAAGATGGCCACCAGCTCATCACCAAGTTTGTAGTGGACGGGAAACAGTGAGTCTTTTTGGGTCTTGTAACTTAAGAAAATGATATGTCATTTCATTGAACTTATTCAATTTCTCTAGCACAAGAAGTGTGCAGTGAAAAAGCAAACTAGCTCAAATATAGCTTGTGTACTGTTTTGTCAAAGTTCTGCATCTGTCTGATTTCAATACTTTGGTATATTTCTATAAATGATTTGTTCTTGAGAACCAAGAGAGGAGAACTTTGAAGTTTGTTCAAACTAATGACCTTGGCCTTCTTTTATGGTGATGGCAAATCATACTTTATTGGAGTTAATCAGAAGATCCCTATCATGATAGATTTGTGACCCCTTTCTTTGATCAATCATCTTCAGAATGGTGATGTATGGTATCAGATTTTTTTGTTATTTTTGCCAGTAGTTTTGATGTTACCAGATATACATACAATGACACACTTATGATGTTGATGTTGACAGCCATGGCGAGCCCTTGTCCTACATCCTGAAGGGATTTGTGGCACTGATGGATCACGGTGTTGTGTCTTGGGACATTCTCCAGGTCGACTTTACAAAAAGGGTATGTCAGTCCCTTCTTCCAGCATGTCACCTACTGTAGCAGGGTTTATGGAACTGTGGCTTGTTGTTATAATCAGTAGCATTGTAATAAAACAAAGATTTTAATTCAAAATAAGAATTGACACAATTTGAAAGACTTTATACTATAAACTACTCGTCATACCTTCTCCTTTGTTTTGTTTTTTTTTAAATCAAATTTCATAAATTAGGATATATTATCTTCTTGCATATAAAAAATTCTCATTATGAAATATTAACCAGTGTAGAAATTATCATCTTTCAAAGATGAAATAAAAATGGTAGTAAACATTCTGTTTTATATACGGTTTCACAGTTTTTAAAAGATGAATCTTAGTTCTTACTTGTGAACTTTCACGATTTTAGGTCATTATCCCTATGTCATGATAGATGAGGTTTTCCATTTGTTTCGTATTGCTATGTATGTAGGTGACAGAATGTGTGCTGAGTTCAAAGTCAGGAAACAGCTGTATACAGGCAGGTCTGGAAATCCTGGAGTGCATAGTATTACACAGGTATTGATATAGTTTTTTGTGGATTATTATCAATTCATTGCAGGAAAATTTATCAGGGCTGTACTGATGCAGTTTCAAGGCTCTCTATCTGCCAGATTTGGGGCCGATATTCAGCCCCATTCCCAATACAAAATAGTATCTTTTTTCCCAATTCAGACCCCAAGTTTTCCCAATTCTAAGGAAAACGCTGCTATTTTTCCCAATTCTAAGGGCCCTGGGCCCCGGGCCCCAGTCCCAAAATTGGATGCGAAAGCCCTGAGTTTATGCTCTGTAATTCAGACTCTGCGTTTATTAATCTTGAAATGTAAGAGAAGTTCAGTCATGTCAAAAATTGATGATTAGAAATAAATCGTCATCATTTCTATGGATGGTTTTTACTTTCTATGTTGCACTGATATTAAGTGAGATTTTTTTTATGTCTTACAGTAGCGCTGCTAATAAGAGGGATATTGTGGAACATTACATCATAGGTCAACATGAAAAGGTACACAGTCACCTACAAACGTAAGTTAGACTGACCTGTTGTTTTGTCATTTTGTTTTTATTAACTTTTATAGGGGTTTCAGATGTCATTAGGTTCTTCCTATGATCTTTTGGTTCAATTTTGTATGATTGTTGCTGCTGTGCAAAAATAAATTGATAATTGTATTCATTTTGCTAAATGGAAAATGAATATTTTTAAGATTACAAAATTAGGTGAATCATTTTCCGGTCATTTGATTTCTGGTTATGACTATTTGATCACATGTGTTGTTCATATTGATAAATGGGCGTTGTCTTTTCAAATCACAAAATTTCGATTTTGATGTCTTTCAATTGACTTTGGTGATGAAGAAACATGACAGGAAAAGTTTCTTTCTCTGTTTATATAGTAAAATTGAATAAAAATCTGAAAATTTACATATTTGTTCTTCAGGAAAGAAGAAATAATTTGATTTCATGTATTTCCTTTAGGCCTGAGCTGCAGAAAAACTCCATGGCTCTGCTGAATGCTTTGTTTTCAAAGGCCAACCCCGCAAAGAAAAAGGTACCAGGTTTGATTATGGTTATGTGCTCAAATGCTGTTTCAATGTCAAGTGTTAATTACAAATGCTCTTATCAGTACTAAAATAAATAGCAGCTTCCTCCAGATAATTTGAATTTAAAATTTACAACAGTCTGTAAGTGCCATAAATACTAACGATAAGGATGGATCAGCCATGAAATAATTTATATGTTTTTAAAAGCTAGAAATTCTGAATGATGTCACTATATGATGAACTACTGAGTCTAAATTTCTTGCTTAATCTTTAATTATTTTTTGCAATTTCTGATATTTGGGAAAGAGAAAAAAAATGGTATTTTAATGGCGTTCTGGATTTTGTGTTTTTAGGAAATCTCAAAAATGGTGCAGTCAAAGAGATTCAGGAATATAATTTCTACGGTAAGTTAATTAGTTTGAAATATCTATCTATAAAGAAAATGTATCCCTACCTTAGCACTCTTTATTAATTCAAGCATAAAGCTTTTTAAAGTTCACTAGAATTTGTTTTTTATTGATGAATTAATCATCCAAACAAACAAGTAACTAGTTGTCTGAGGAGGGAAGTTTGTATTAGACTGATTAGTGGTGTTATGATAGTCAGAGAACCAAATTATAATTAGTGACTGAATTAGTAGGATAAACAGATAAATAGTGACTGGATTAGTGGGACAAACAGATAAATAGTGACTGGATTAGTGGGACAAACAGATTGATGGTGACTGGATTAGTGGGACAAACAGATTGATGGTGACTGGATTAGTGGGACAAACAGATAAATGGTGACTGGATTAGTGGAACAAACAGATAAATAGTGACTGGATTAGTAGGATAAACAGATAAATAGTGACTGGATTAGTGGAACAAACAGATAAATAGTGACTGGATTAGTGGGACAAACAGATTGATGGTGACTGGATTAGTGGGACAAACAGATTGATGGTGACTGGATTAGTGGGACAAACAGATAAATGGTGACTGGATTAGTGGAACAAACAGATAAATAGTGACTGGATTAGTGGAACAAACAGATTGATGGTGACTGGAAAAGTGGGACAAACAGATTGATGGTGACTGGATTAGTGGGACAAACAGATTGATGGTGACTGGATTAGTGGGACAAACAGATAAATGGTTACTGGATTAGTGGAACAAACAGATAAATAGTGACTGGATTAGTGGCACATAACAGATTAGTTGTGACTGGAGTAGTGGGACAAACATATCAGTGGTGCCTGAATTAGTGGGACAAACCATGTAATTCTCAGAAGTAAAGATACTCCATAATTGTCACATGGGTAGTTGTATATATGTGTATGTAACATATTGTATCAGTGACCAACATAGACGATAGGAAGGGATATTGTATCAGTGACCGTGACCAACATGGATGATAGGAAGGGATATTGTATCAGTGACCGTGACCAACATGGATGATAGGAAGGGATATTGTATCAGTGACCAACATAGACGATAGGAACGGATATTGTATCAGTGACCGTGACCAACATGGATGATAGGAAGGGATATTGTATCAGTGACCGTGACCAACATGGATGGTAGGAAGGGATATTGTATCAGTGACCAACATGGATGATAGGAAGGGATATTGTATCAGTGACCGTGACCAACATGGATGGTAGGAACGGATATTGTATCAGTGACCAACATAGACGATAGGAAGGGATATTGTATCAGTGACCGTGACCAACATGGATGGTAGGAAGGGATATTGTATCAGTGACCAACATGGATGATAGGAAGGGATATTGTATCAGTGACCAACATGGATGATAGGAAGGGATATTGTATCAGTGACCGTGACCAACATGGATGGTAGGAAGGGATATTGTATCAGTGACCAACATGGATGGTAGGAAGGGATATTGTATCCGTGACCAACATGGATGATAGGAAGGGATATTGTATCAGTGACCAACATAGACGATAGGAAGGGATATTGTATCAGTGACCAACATGGATGATAGGAAGGGATATTGTATCAGTGACCAACATGGATGATAGGAAGGGATATTGTATCTGTGACCAACATGGATGGTAGGAAGGGATATTGTATCTGTGACCAACATGGATGATAGGAAAGAGGTATCTCAGATGCCACACTGATATTATGAAGTCATCTTCATTGCATGTATCACAAATTCATGATATATCAGAAATAAAAATTTATGTAAATGAGTTATATACTTGATGAATTAGGACATTTATGAAGTGAAGTGAACATGAAGTCTTGTATTGATCTGAGCATAGAAATATAGTCAGAAAGATAATGTTGTGTTTGTGAAATTTTAATGTTGAATTTTAAAGATATTTGAATGTATGGTTTATTTTGAATTTTAGTATGTGATTGGGACTGGGCGTGTCCCAGGCAGTGACATGGCCCATCACCTGTACGTACTACAGACTTTGACTCTGAGTATGTTTGAGGATCGTATGAATACTCCTGCTGACCCACAGGACCCGGTATGTAATTATAACCAGCATATGCTCAGATGTATAATCTTCATCACACTATACTCAGATCTGTAATCTTCATCACACTATACTCAGATCTGTACTTATAACCACACTATACTCAGATCTGTAATCTTCATCACGCTATACTCAGATCTTTACTCCAGATAACACTTTAATTAGATCTGTACTAAAGAGTAACAATATGGCTGTTAGGATATAGAAAATATATAGGATTGAATATTTTCAATGTTACCTTTGTGAGAGAGGAGAGGACAGGATAGTTATGAACACTGCATACTTGTTTTAGAATTGTTATTTATGACATTTCCCTGGTACTCTTTACAAGAAAATTACATAAATAATAATGGGCCATATCTACTGTATCTAATAATCAAACTGTTAGTAAATTGTATTGTTTTTTTTGCAGGTGGTAATGAAGAATATTGAGACACTTCGACCAACAGCTATAGCCATAGACAGTGACTCCAACCAGCCAGGGACACGCAAGTCAAACCTGTATCGAAAGTTGGGCTTTGAGGTAATATAAAACATAACCCCAGAAGTTGGCAGTGTATGTTTTACCTGTAGAAAAATTAATCTCTTGTTTAGATAATGAAGTGAATAGATACTATATGAGATACTGTTGCAAAATCAGATTGTAGAACATTGTCAAAGTTTGATCAGTTTTCAGGTTGTGCAATAATGTCACACCAGAGTAAATGTAATTGAAAACAGTATGATTATAAATGCAATTAATGAAACCCCTGTAAGGTACAATTTGTTAAACACCAATAAATAATTTAAATTTATATATTGGAAACCATTACCTGAATCAGGATGCTGTATCACACCAGAACCTTAAAAAATCGCCCATCAACAAGGTACTAAATTGACAGTCTGTTTGCCTGTCCTACTCTAAGTTTCATAAATCTTTTCTTTCTAGTTAGTGTTTAGTTGGTAATATCTGGCACTTTGGTGAATACAGCTGTAATGATTGAACACATTAAATGTTTGATGCTCATCTGTGGATTTCTAGTTTATGAAGTCAATACTGTCTTTCATTCAGTGACATATCATTGTCTGTGACTTTTTTTTTATATGATATGTGTTTTCAGGATCTCACAACACCTGCCCAGGACTTTTCCAAAAACACACCTCCAGGGATTTTAGCTCTGGACAATGTTGCCTATTTTGCTGAAAAACACCAAGAAAATTATGTGAAGGTCATTAGATTTATAATCAATAAGAATATCGTAAAGTAAAACTTACAAAATTTTACAGTTTTACAGAAATTTAATTATTTCAGTGCATTTCTTATAAAAGTTTTGATGTTGTATGTTTAACAATGAATTAAAATATCAGTGTCAGGGCTCTCAATCTGCTAGATTTGGGGACGATATTGGGCCCCATTCCCAATGCAAAATAGTATCTTTTTTCCCAATTTAGACCCAAAGTTTTCCCAATTCTAAGGAAAACACCATTATTTTTCCAGATTCTAAGGGCCCCGTCCCAAAATGGGGTATGAGAACCCTGAGTGTTATTTCAAACACATTTAGCTGTACTCTAAAAGTTAATGATTACGGCTGTTACAGGTAGTGCTTGAAAACTCAAGTCGTTCTGACGAACATGACTGTCCGTTTATAAAAGCTAGCATTATGCTGACGAGAATTCTGTGTGAAATCCTGAAGATAGGAGAACCACGTAAGTTTAATGTTTATATACAATTCTTAATTGTAAGCGCAGACAATTTGTGATTTTATGAAATCCATATAGTGTTACAAATTTCTGTTTGCATCCTGTCATGTCCCGTCCTGTCATATTCCATCATGTGACCTTCTTAATCATTGTCGTATCTTGAGAACCTCTTAACAGATTTGGTTCAGGTTTTCTCCAATCATATCATAACATCAGGTTTCACATCACATTTTACTTGCTGAGAGGAAAGGCTTTCATGACCTATAGACTTGTAATAGTTTCAATAAATCAGGATATTTCCTGGAATAATTCTGTACCATTTCTGACATCAGTTATGTCTTTGAGTTTCTTGGTTTTAGAGGTTGTGGTTGATCCTGTTTTTTTTTTTTTCGTGCTAGACTTTTGAATGTTTGTATCTTGTATGACAGAATTTGAGCACATTGACAAAAACTAAATGTGGATTTTTGCAATAGACTTATAATCTTGATTAAATATTACAAGCTAAGTAAGAATTGATATATGGTACTAACTGGTACAAATTTGTTGTTATCAACGCTTCAGTACCATTGTCACTATTTTGAGAAAGTAAAACAAGGATAGGTATAGGTTAAGATAGCTTCCCATGACAGTAAGTAGTTCTCAGGAAGGTGAGAAATGTTCCAGTCATGTGTTATGTTGGGTCTAGTATATTGTCCAGCGAGGTAGCCAGTGAGAAATGTACCAGTCCAGTTATGTTGGGTCCAGTATATTGTCCAGCGAGGTAGCCATTGAAGTAGTCACAAGCTACTACAAGAACACCCCTCCACAGATTGACCCAAGCTGTTGAGAGGACAACAACCCAGAAAACAAACAAACATACAAACAAGGCTATTGTCCCCTATTCTATTTGTATATACACAGCAAGCGAGGAAGGAGAAAAATACCATCCCATGTTTTTTGGTCATGAGGAGCCATTCCAGGAGTTCTTCTGTATTTGTATCCAGCTGCTTAATAAGACTTGGCGTGAGATGAGGGCATCCACTGAGGACTTTCAGAAGGTCAGTCAGAATACAGTCATCGAGTTATTTCAGGGACAGTTAGACATATTATGTGTTGACAAACGTGCTGTATTTCTACAACTTGGGGCCTTGGAGGTTGAGTGGTTAAGGTGACTGGCCATCTTTGTTACGAGCCCTTCACCTCTGGGTCACAGATTTGAGGCCTATGTGAGATAGTTGCCAAGAACTGGCGGCAGATCATTGGTTTTTCTCGGGGAACTTGGGCTTTTACCATCCAAACCTGGCATGTCCTTAAATTACTCTGGTTGCTGGACGTTAAGTAATGATAAACCAATTTCTACCTTTACAGAACTGAATCATGCTCTTCATACTGTAGATCAAAGCTATAATAGACACAGCATTGGATGTTGCATTAGATATCATCAGCATCATTTGGACGGAAAAATTCAACCAGATTTTGTTATATTATGTGTAGGTGTTAGGAGTGGTGAAGGAACAGATTGGACGTGCCCTTGACATGCAGCCCACCTCATTGGAGACATTCAGGTCTCGTCTCAATCAACTCACATATGACGAGATCATTAACTTGTGGGAGAGAGAACGTCTATCAAAAGAAGAATGGGAATCCCAAGCCAAACCAATAATGTAAGTACCAAGTCAGGCAGATATTGTTAGTACCAAGTCAGGCAGACATTGTCAGTACCAAGTCAGGCAGATATTGTCAGTACCAAGTCAGGCAGATATTGTAAGCAAGTCAGGCAGATATTGTTAGTACCAAGTCAGGCAGATATTGTCAGTACCAAGTCAGGCAGATATTGTTAGTACCAAGTCAGGCAGATATTGTCAGTACCAAGTCAGGCAGATATTGTTAGTACCAAGTCAGGCAGATATTGTTAGTACCAAGTCAGGCAGACATTGTCAGTACCAAGTCAGGCAGATATTGTAAGTACCAAGTCAGGCAGATATTGTTAGTACCAAGTCAGGCAGATATTGTCAGTACCAAGTCAGGCAGATATTGTCAGTACCAAGTCAGGCAGATATTGTCAGTACCAAGTCAGGCAGATATTGTCAGTACCAAGTCAGGCAGATATTGTAAGTACCAAGTCAGGCAGATATTGTCAGTACCAAGTCAGGCAGATATTGTCAGTACCAAGTCAGGCAGATATTGTCAGTACCAAGTCAGGCAGATATTGATATTTAGTACCAAGTCAGGCAGATATTGTCAGTACCAAGTCAGGCAGATATTGTCAGTACCAAGTCAGGCAGATATTGTCAGTACCAAGTCAGGCAGATATTGTCAGTACCAAGTCAGTCAGATATTGTCAGTACCAAGTCAGGCAGATATTGTCAGTACCAAGTCAGGCAGATATTGTCAGTACCAAGTCAGGCAGATATTGTCAGTACCAAGTCAGTCAGATATTGTCAGTACCAAGTCAGGCAGATATTGTCAGTACCAAGTCAGGCAGATATTGTCAGTACCAAGTCAGGCAGATATTGTCAGTACCAAGTCAGGCAGATATTGTCAGTACCAAGTCAGGCAGATATTGTCAGTACCAAGTCAGGCAGATATTGTCAGTACCAAGTCAGGCAGATATTGTCAGTACCAAGTCAGGCAGATATTGTCAGTACCAAGTCAGGCAGATATTGTCAGTACCAAGTCAGGCAGATATTGTTAGTACCAAGTCAGGCAGATATTGTTAGTACCAAGTCAGGCAGATATTGTCAGTACCAAGTCAGGCAGATATTGTTAGTACCAAGTCAGGCAGATATTGTCAGTACCAAGTCAGGCAGATATTGTTAGTATCAAGTCAGGCAGATATTGTCAGTACCAAGTCAGGCAGATATTGTCAGTACCAAGTCAGGCAGATATTGTCAGTACCAAGTCAGGCAGATATTGTCAGTACCAAGTCAGGCAGATATTGTCAGTACCAAGTCAGTCAGATATTGTCAGTATCAAGTCAGGCAGATATTGTTAGTACCAAGTCAAGCAGATATTGTCAGTACCAAGTCAGGCAGATATTGTCAGTACCAAGTCAGGCAGATATTGTCAGTACCAAGTCAGGCAGATATTGTCAGTACCAAGTCAGATAGATATTGTCAGTACCAAGTCAGGCAGATATTGTCAGTATCAAGTCAGGCAGATATTGTCAGTACCAAGTCAGGCAGATATTGTTAGTATTAAGTCAGGCAGATATTCTTAGTACCAAGGCAGGCAGATATTGTTAGTACCAAGTCAGGCAGATATTGTTAGTACCAAGTCAGGCAGATATTGTTAGTACCAAGTCAGGCAGATATTGTTAGTACCAAGTCAGGCAGATATTGTTAGTACCAAGTCAGTCAGATATTGTTAGTACCAAGTCAGTCAGATATTGTTAGTATCAAGTCAGGCAGATATTGTTAGTATCAAATCAATATTGTTAGTATCAAGTCAGGCAGATATTGTTAGTACCAAGTCAGGCAGATATTGTTAGTACCAAGTCAGGCAGATATTGTTAGTATCAAATCAATATTGTTAGTATCAAGTCAGGCAGATATTGTTAGTACCAAGTCAGGCAGATATTGTTAGTATCAAGTCAGGCAGATATTGTAACCACAGGCCTATGGTCAAATACTGTAAGTCCAATTACCAAGATTTTCAAAGTGTTAGTCTTAAGCTAGACGAAACCTAGTCTAAAGCTGTAAGTTCTTGCCTGGACTTTGAGTCTAAAATTTCAGAATCATTTAGGTAAGCAGGCCTTGAGTCTAATACTGTTAGTCAAGCATAAAGTCAAATTATATACATCCCAGGTCTGATCTAACACAGTTTATCAATCCAATCTATTTTGACTCCCATTCTGTGGGCAGGGCACATAGTGCTATCCTCGTCGATCATTCTGTCATACTTTCATTTCTGTTCATTTCCTCAGAAACAATTATAACTGTAATTTGATATATAATATTACTGTATAGTAAAAATGTAATATCATTGTATAGTAATGATATACAAGTTCTGATTTGGTAAAGGTTAATTTTTTTTTTTTTCAAATGTTATGACTGTTAAACTTAAAAAAGAATTTTCACAAAAGTATAAAAATTTTACAGACAGAACTCCATTTTAGAAAACCAATAACATGTAAAGGCTCCGAACTTCTCCTGATTTGTCGGTAGGGTCATTCATGTCCTTCTGACACTTTCAGTTATCATTAGGCTAAGTTGCAGCTTTTCAAAGTTACATATTTAAATCATTGACTGTGAATAATTAAACACAAAATTTCATGTATTGCATCGTATTATCGTGTTGTGTTCCAACAGTGAACTACGTCAGGAATTAACTCCATGCATACTGGATCTGATAAAACAACAACGCCTAAACTACCTGATTGAGGGTACCAGATTCCACAAGTACAACATGAAGGGTAAAAATAAAGGTGAGTAGCTGTTCAAGGGGAGAGAACTCAATGTAGTCCACCAAAATGTTGTCTACTGGATGAATTAACACAAAATTTTATCATGCTGGTTATAACCATTGAAATCTTCTGTTTTTAACAACTCACTTGTCATTGATATGAAAAAATAATTACTAGCCGAGCTTTTGATTATTTACAGATAAGATGTGGTGTTGGCGTCTGTCTCCCAATCATAAATGTTTCCACTATGCTGATTGTAATGAGGGAGAGATTCCCACCCTTGACCACATGCCAAACAAACGTAAGTCTTTTTAACTAATTATTGTAATTATACTGATCTTTAAGTCAAGATGAAACATCATGTGTTGAAGATATAGATATGTCCCAGAATTCAGGAAATAATGGTTTTAAAGGATTTATTTTTTCAATGTTTAAGTATTTAATTGACAGTTGTTGAAGTTAGCTGTTTTACAGCATGTTGTGAAATGCTATTGAGAGATCCTATTTACCTAAAGCACTGTAAAGTCTTCAGTCTTCAGACAGGGATCAGTCTAGGGTGATTTTGCTACCGGTGTTGGGTGGTTCCCCTTATCAGCTAACATTCTCCTCCTATAGAATATTCCCCATGAATCTTGCAATACGTTACCCTGTTTAACATCAATTTCCATTTTCTCTTCTTATTTCCTCTATTTCAACAGATATTACGCTTTGATTTTTTTTATTGTTTTGAGTACAATTTGAGGGATTTTGTATATCTTCTTTTATCAAAAAAATTATTCAAATGTTGTGTGAACAGTCAATCACAAAGTACTGAAAAAATTGTTTTCAGCCCAGGAGACTTCCTTCTTTTCGCCCATTTGGAACGTGTGGTATTACCATCTTATCACATAAGGGGGTACCTTCTCCTGTATCCTAGATTAAACCCTGCAACATGTTCTAGGCTTTTCTTACCTCCAATAAGGCTTATAAATTTGTCACTTAAAACAATTTTATTGTTGGCATTTGAAGTTTTTGTGTCTTAATAGATACATAACAGTTGTAAGATATATCTTCATTCCATTTGTTAGGACTGCAATATTTCAGTCAGTAGAATACAGATTTAGAGATTCAGGGTGTGTGGTTTGATGCCTGCATGGAGGGCTAGTTTTTCTCAGGAGGCTGCGATCATAGAACATTGTTTGATGTTGTGGTTGTGCCCATATATATTACCATGGGTAGCATGTGATGGGTGACTTTTGATGATGTTTTGTGAGGTAGCGACTGGTTAATATACGGACGTCATTCATCTGATTGACAATGACTGGGCATTTAAGTCAACATACAATTTCCATGTTCATTAGCGCTGAATTACTATACTGTAGCGTACAAATCCGAGTTAAATATTTAAAATCACAATACATATGGTGTCTAACTGAAATTTTTTTCTTAGATGAAAATAATATTTAAAAAAAAATGATGTAGATTTATTAGAAATGTTCTGTTCTCTAATTATGAAAATTATGTGATCATGTAGTGCCTGTGAGTGAAATCAAAAGCATCATTAAGGGAAAAGAGTGCCCCCACGTCAGAGAGAAGACTCGGTCACGGCCGGTGAGTATAAGGAACCGATTTTAAGTGAAATGTCTATTAATGCTTGCTGATAAGAAATATAGAAGCCACTAACATGCCAGTTAAGTACAATGTCAGTAGTATTTTGATAGATACAGCAACATTAACTAGAAAATGCTTCAATTGTTCTGTGTAATACAATAGCATATGTTTGCATGTACATTTTCAGTATCTAAAACGGTAATTACAAAAAACAACAGGTAAACAAGCAAGGAATGTAGGATTAAGGTGGTTAGATAGTGAAGTGGTAATGCACCTGCCTTTTACCTAACTGTCCGAGGTTTGATTACCAAAAGGGATGTGAAAATGTAGAGGGTGACCTGTCCGACCATATGGGTTTTCCATGTGTACTGTGGTTCCTCCTATTATAGCAGTAATACCTCTTGCACGCTTACATCCGGGTCAGCAAGTGTGATGAGTATAAGTTACTACAAGTTGTTTGGCAATTGTTGTAAAATAAATAAAGTGTATACTTATAAGAATATTTTTGAGGGCAGTTTTGTTGAATTTAACTGCATTTGTAAACACTGAAGTTTTATGTAATTATCTGTTGATCATAAGGTGTAGCATTACTAGCACTGGAAATAACCAAATATAACACTGTAAATAAAATTCCGAACAAGTCAATAAAATGCAATTAAAAAAAGGACACATGAAGAAAAGAGCAAAAAAAATATATATTAAAGATGGCCGACTGATTTCATGGAATACTCTCTAAGAATTATTGGGCTCCTTTAACGGACAGGACATTCAGAGTAGAAAAAAAGATGAGAATGTTCCTGAAAAGTTAGAGTACATACCCTGTCAAGAAAGAGTAAAACCTTAATAATGTCACCAGGTTGTGCTCTTTTATCCCAATACATAAGACTTATTCAAAGGAGAAATGTTAATTTTTTAATGTTTTATTAGTGTGATGATGAAAGCTATATAAATGTATTATGTTGCTTCACAGTATGTTTCATAGTGTGTTGGTCTGAATATGTAAACATATTTATTAGTTTGTTTAGGAAAGTGAATTTAATGAAATAATTTCACAAATACCTGATACCCAAAAAGCAGAAAATTTATTTTGTGTATATTGTTTGATAGAAATATGCCTTGCCTGAATGTTTATCCTTCACCCACCCTCCCACACACCACCCATCCCCACACAACCATTTTAGCCAATGATTTGACATAGCAGGTGTTCCAAAACCATTGGAGGATTCTGATATGTCAAAAGTAAGATATTATTTAAGTTGAAAATTGATAAATAAGTTTAGACAATATACAATCGTACCATTTTCGAGGGAGAAAAAAAAGAATAGGATGCCATTAGGTTACCATGGTGACCAAAGATGGCCTCTTGGAGGAATCTTCCTTTAAACAACTTTTTATAAATTATTGTGGATTGGGGAGTGGAGGGGGTGGGGGTAATTAGTCGGCCATCTTGGCAACAGTTCTAGATTGTTCTTATTAACAGTGTACATAAACCTCTAATATTACATACATTTTGGCTTCATATAATATGTATGCTTTCAGCAATCAAAAGTACAGGTAAGTCAGTGTCACATCTTTTGACATGGGACAACATTCTGAAATCTTCCTCTTATAGTAGTCACCTACATACCGGGCATGGCCACGTTAATGAAACTTGTCCCATGTCAAGTTGTGCTAAGTTATGATAACAATATGATTAACAACCATATACTACCACGTACTCAAATGTTAATTTATTATTAAGAATAGAAAAAAAAAATTTTCTTGAAAATATTTTGTATAACCAGGGCTCTCGATCTGTCAGATTTGGGGCCGAATTCCCCATGCAAAATAGTATCTTTTTTTCCCAATTTAGACCCTAAGTTTTCAAAATTCTAAGGAAAACACCATTATTTTTCCCAATTCTAAGGGCCCCGAGCCCCAGTCCCAAAATTGGGTGTGAGAGCCCTGATAAGTCACTTGCATTAAATGTGTGATGTTGATTGTGGTGCATTATACACCTGTATGTTATTTAACAATGAGAATGTTTGATTTCAATGGTATGATATATAATAATCTTTCAGAAGTGGTCACAACTTATTTCTACTTACCTGTTGGTTAATATTTTTAAAAATCTGTATAAAAATTATAGCATGATGTGGGTTGTTAACCTCGCAAAAATTTATGTGGTATAATTATGAATATTAATTCTTGTTTGATTGCTTGATATCTAAATACATTGTATCAAGTAATGTGTGGTATATCTTGGATTGAAATCAAAAATCATTTATGTACATTTATATAGCATGTATATCCACATATAAGAACTATTTGTGTTAGAAATTAATTTTGATCAAGAAAGATGTAGGGATGTGTGTCATTTTATGAATGTCCTGTTGAAACTTCATGCTCTTGGGCTAACATAAGACGTTATGCTGGTTCTTTAAGTTTCCGCCATTTTATGGGAAAGCATACATAATGCTACCCATTTATGTGTCATCCTGCCCCGCTATCTCTTGATTAAGTTTAATCATTCTTGCAATTTTATTTCTTGACAGTCTCCTCAATGATTGTACTAAAAACACACAAGAGAATAACATTTTTTTACATATTTAGAATTAGATTGAGTAGAGCCAAATCATGAATTAAACTGCATCATACAGCTGTCTTGCCCTTGAATTCATCTTACAGCTGTGTGGTCCTAGGATGCATCATACAGCTGTCTTGCCCTTGAATTCATCTTACAGCTGTGTGGTCCTAGGATGCATCATACAGCTGTTTGGTCCTAGGATGCATCATACAGCTGTTTGGTCCTAGGATGCATCATACAGCTGTTTGGTCCTAGGATGCATCATACAGCTGTTTGGTCCTAGGATGCATCATACAGCTGTTTGGTCCTAGGATGCATCATACAGCTGTCTTGCCCTTGAATTCATCTTACAGCTGTGTGGTCCTAGGATGCATCATACAGCTGTTTGGACCTAGGATGCATCATACAGCTGTTTGGTCCTAGGATGCATCATACAGCTGTTTGGTCCTAGGATGCATCATACAGCTGTTTGGTCCTAGGATGCATCATACAGCTGTTTGGTCCTAGGATGCATCATACAGCTGTGTGGTCCTAGGATGCATCATACAGCTGTTTGGTCCTAGGATGCATCATACAGCTGTGTGGTCCTAGGATGCATCATACAGCTGTTTGGTCCTAGAATGCATCATACAGCTGTTTGGTCCTAGAATGCATCATACTGCTGTTTGGTCATAGAGTGCATCATACAGCTGTGTGGTCCTAGAATGCATCATACAGCTGTTTGGTCCTAGAATGCATCATACAGCTGTTTGGTCCTAGGATGCATCATACAGCTGTGTGGTCCTAGAATGCATCATACAGCTGTTTGGTCCTAGGATGCATCATACAGCTGTTTGGTCCTAGGATGCATCATACAGCTGTGTGGTCCTAGAATGCATCATACAGCTGTTTTGTCCTAGGTGCATCATATGTACATACAGCTGTGTGATTATCATCATACAGGTGTGTGGTCTAGAATACATCAACATTTGTATAATGATTATCCAAGGTTTGTCTTAAAATTTGAAGTCCGCGATTTCTTGTACTCTCAGTGTTTTCAGTTTTGTCATATTCTAAGTTTCTTTTAGAGCATACTCAAAAGAAACAAATAAAAACCTATTTCCAGATTATCAAACATTGGTAGTATTTACCGTGTTCCTTTCCATTACAGACAATTGCTACCCATCTGGCTTTTGCTATCCAGCCTTCCTCTACCACCACTGATTCCCCAGAGTCCTTCTGTTTTGTGGCCAAAGATGATTGTGAGTTTGACATGTGGATGGACGGCCTGAACATTTTACAGGCTGCTGAGGTAAATTTCTACACCCTTCTCCCTGAACATTTTACAGGCTGCTGAGGTAAATTTCTACACCCTTCTCCCTGAACATTTTACAGGCTGCTGAGGTAAATTTCTACACCCTTCTCCCTGAACATTTTACAGGCTGCTGAGGTAAATTTCTACACCCTTCTCCCTGAACATTTTACAGGCTGCTGAGGTAAATTTCTACACCCTTCTCCCTGAACATTTTACAGGCTGCTGAGGTAAATTTCTACACCCTTCTCCCAGTGGCCAGGAAATACTATATAGTATTAAATAAAATATAACCCTCCTTTCACTCTTTTGTGTACTCCCCCCTCGTCCACACCTTGATCTGAAAAAAATTGTCAACAGTTTTTATAAAGCAACACTCTCCCCTCTCCTCTACATCCTCCTCATCCCTTTGCCCTAAAAATTGTCAACAGTTTTTATACAGCAACCCTCTCCCCTCTCCTCTACATCCTCCTCATCCCTTTGGCCTAAAAATTGTCAACAGTTTTTATACAGCAACCCTCTCCCCTCTCTTCTAGATCCTCCTCATCCCTTCTTCACAATTTTAATATAGCACCCTTCTTAACCCCCTCTCTACTCCCTCCTTCTGCCCATTAGTCTGAACATTTTACAAACAGAAAAACAGTCAAATTACTATATTATCAATAAAGCAAACCCCCTCCCTGCCCTCTAGTCCCTACTAGCCCCATACCTCCAGCCTAAAAATACTTTACAGTTTTGATATATTGCCCCTCTCACTCTCCCCTCTACTCCCTCTTCGCCAATTAACTGATATGTCTACATAAACTACTAGACAAAGGTCAAAATGAGAGATCTTTTAAAGGACTTTTGAAAATTCATAGTAAGTAGATATGAGACTTAAATTCATAACTTAAAGAATGAAAGGATTGCAAGTCCATACGTCTTTATTTTACATTTATATTTAGATGAAGAGCCAGCAGAAGATGAAAGATTTAGAATTACTTCTAAATATGGAGATTAAGATTCGGATGCTGGATGCAGAAGGAATAACTATACCAACGGAACCACCAGCTATTCCCCCCGAACCTGATAACTACGACTTCGCACACCCTAATCTATGATTGTACATCAGTTATAGTCAATATTATGATATGGATGTAGTGGATCATTAGAGGGCAATTAATACTGGATGGACCTGTTACCAGAACAGCGTATCTCACAAACAGCAGGGTGATCTGATTCCAAATGTGTTTCTGCTGACTAAAAGTATTACAAGCGTTTATGTTTCCAGATGTAAAGTACTAGATAGTAGTACAGAATTATTGCTAGCACTGGGTCATTTTAGCAATCTTGTCAAGATTATATGTTTTTAAAAACAATCCACAGACAGGCTGTACTGTCAATCCACAACCTTTTTGTATGTCAGACTCTGATCCATAGATTTAGCAGCATTAGTGAGAATGTTTTCTCTAAATACTGCCATTTCTATATAACTGAACATAAATTGAACGTGGGTTTCTTCATTAGAAATTTTTTGACACTGGAAAACAAGACCAGTTTGAAAGTTCATTTACCCAAGAAAAACCACCTGGTTTGCTTTATATATTTTTGATATTAAAACATTACTACTACCAAATAAACAGTTGGGGCCCTATCTGGACATATTTTTATTTCATATTCTTCATCATAATTCATTTTAAAGATTATTTTACTGTACTGATTATAAATGATTATACCAGTCCTTGTAATATTAGAAAAATATCTCCACATTTTTTGTAAAATTTTGGTCAGAGGATCCTAATGTTTGAAGTTTGACAAAAGAGCTGGTCTCATGAATTGTCAGAGTAGATTTATCACTTGGCAAGCACTTCACATGTTTTATATAATATTTCATCAATTTCGCAGGGGATAGAAGGATCTTAACTTAAACGGGAAGATTCATGTAGTTAGTAAACATGAGGCTAAATGATCGGCAACTTAAGAATCTTACCCCAAGAATTGAGAATCCTTTTAAACAGCATCCTGTTGGTAATTTAAAGTAACCGTGTAAATGTTGACGTTGCTTCTGTGTTTTGCATTAGTGGCGTGACATCTTTGTTGTTGCTGTGATGTCATACTATTGTTATGGGTAGGGAATCCCGCCATCTGTACAAAGATTTCTCACAAGTAAAGAGTGAGGACACCTATCTAGTGTAGGGGGAAAAGACAGCTAATTTGTGCCTTTTCATAGAAAAGCCACAACTGAAAAGTAGGATCATGTTCTCAGTCATAGTGTTGAATATATTGATAAAATCACAACAGGATAGATTTATCAACATACACATTGTGCAAATGGCAGCACTTTTTTCACACCTTAAGGGACTTTGAACATAAATTCTTTTAATATTTGTATGATTCCTGTCTTTAATTGAGATTCTATCAAACATAATGTTAAATACATAAATTGCTCACAAACAAGAAGACTTTGACTCAATATGACTTGAGATTACTTTATATGACTGGATATGAATTGCTATGACTTGATATGATTTGATAAAACTTGATATGACTTGTTAAAACTTGATAGACTTGTTAAAACTTGATATGACTTGATAAAACTTGATATGACTTGATAAAAATAACTTGATAAAACTTATATGATTTGATAAAACTTGATATGACTTGATAAAACTTGATATGACTTGATAAAACTTGATATGACTTGATAAAACTTGATATGACCTGATCTGACTTGATATGACTTGATAAAACTTGATATGACTTGTTAAAACTTGATATGACTTGATAAAACTTGATATGACTTGATAAAACTTGATATGATTTGATAAAACTTGATATGACTTGATAAAACTTGATATGACTTGATAAAACTTGATATGACTTGATAAAACTTGATATGACTTGATAAAACTTGATATGACTTGTTAAACTTGATATGATTTGATAAAACTTGATATGACTTCATAAAACTTGATATGACTTGATATGATTTGATAAAACTTGATATGACTTGTTAAACTTGATATGACTTTATATAACTTGATATTACTTGATAAAACTTGATATGATTTGTTAAACTTGATATGACTTGATAAAACTTGATATGACTTGTTAAACTTGATATGACTTTATATAACTTGATATGACTTGATATGTATTGTTGCAGTTCTAACCATTCATCACACATTGCGTGGATGTTTATCATCTATATGTGATGTATCACTAATTGTAATCACCCAGTTGATCTGGTGTTGTGGCTGGAAGTTACATCAAATAAATTTGATAATAACACAAATTTTTATACAACTAATTGGACGTGACAAAAGATGGAGTCTAACCAAGACTTTTCAGCATTTTCATAACTGCTGCAAAATTGTGATTATGTTAGGTAAAACGTCTTGCTAATTCATTTACGTTAGTAAATTTTCTTCGCCAAGACCTGTCAGGATCTTAAGCATTGATATTTGATTGGTCAGTAATCTGAAAACCTTGTTTACCAAAGTAAGGTAGCTTCCACCTTGACAACTTCCATTTTTGTTTATTAATAAGAAGTAATTAGTGCTTGTATTGCTGTTATAGATATATTTTGTTAATAACTTTCAAAATGTTTGGTATGTACCAGTAGTACTGCATCAAATCTTTTACAGATTTGGGCCACATAGTCTATGTGTGTGATGAAATTAACCTGAATTAATGTTAAATGTGCAGTTTAATATACATACCTGGTTTGACTTTAAAAGGACTCAAATGAGAAAAGTAGCTCATTTCTTTCAGCATAATAATATAGTTTGAAAGACGTTTTAAAAGATGTCATAAATATTATGGTCTTTGTCAATTAAAATGTGCATGATGTATGAAAAAAAAGTTTCATGTGTCTGAGGGACCAGCGTTTTATTCCAGGAACTGTTTATATGTAAATGACTGTTTACGTGATTAATGTTTATATATCCAGAATATCATTTTGTTATTTATTCATTTTATTTGTATCTTCCTCAACACTAGTCGAGACAAACCAAGAACAAAATGAATATGTACAAAAAAAAGTCAGATTTGAAATCATACTCTGCTGTAAATTTAAAGTGGTGCTGCGATATTAATATGTTGATTCATCATTAAGATAATTAATACTGAGGGTATCCTTGTGTAGACACTGGATACTGTATCAGGATAATTAATACTGTGGGTATCCTTGTGTAGACACTGGATACTGTATCAGGATAATTAATACTGTGGGTATCCGTGTGTAGACACTGGATACTGTATCAGGATAATTAATACTGTGGGTATCCGTGTGTAGACACTGGATACTGTATCAGGATAATTAATACTGTGGGTATCCTTGTATAGACACTGGATACTGTATCAGGATAATTAATACTGTGGGTATCCTTGTATAGACACTGGATACTGTATCAGGATAATTAATACTGTGGGTATCCTTGTGTAGACACTGGATACTGTATCAGGATAATTAATACTGTGGGTGTCCTTGTGTAGACACTGGATACTGTATCAGGATAATTACTACTGTGGGTATCCGTGTGTAGACACTGGATACTGTATCAGGATAATTAATACCGTGGGTATCCTTGTGTAGACACTGGATACTGTATCAGGATAATTAATACTGAGGGTATCCGTGTGTAGACACTGGATACTGTATCAGGATAATTAATACTGTGGGTATCCATGTACTAAACACTGGATACTGTATCAGGATAATTACTTCTGTGGGTATCCTTGTGTAGACACTGGATACTGTATCAGGATAATTAATAATGAGGGTATCCTTGTGTAGACACTGGATACTGTATCAGGATAATTAATACTGAGGGTATCCTTGTGTAGACACTGGATACTGTATCAGGATAATTAATACTGAGGGTATCCTTGTGTAGACACTAGATACTGTATCAGGATAATTAATACTGTGGGTATCCTTGTGTAGACACTGGATACTGTATCAGGATAATTAATACTATGTGTATCCATGTACTAAACACTGGATACTGTATCAGGATATTTAATACTGTGGGTATCCTTGTGTAGACACTGGATACTGTATCAGGATAATTAATACTGTGGGTATCCATGTACTAAACACTGGATACTGTATCAGGATAATTACTTCTGTGGGTATCCTTGTGTAGACACTGGATACTGTATCAGGATAATTAATAATGAGGGTATCCTTGTGTAGACACTGGATACTGTATCAGGATAATTAATACTGAGGGTATCCTTGTGTAGACACTGGATACTGTATCAGGATAATTAATACTGAGGGTATCCTTGTGTAGACACTGGATACTGTATCAGGATAATTAATACTATGTGTATCCTTGTGCAGACACTGGGTACTGTATAGAGATAATTAATACTGTGGGTATCCTTGTGTAGACACTGGATACTGTATCAGGATAATTAATACTGTGGGTATCCGTGTGTAGACACTGGATACTGTATCAGGATAATTAATACCGTGGGTATCCTTGTGTAGACACTAGATACTGTATCAGGATAATTAATACTGAGGGTATCCTTGTGTAGACACTGGATACTGTATCAGGATAATTAATACTATGTGTATCCATGTACTAAACACTGGATACTGTATCAGGATATTTAATACTGTGGGTATCCTTGTGTAGACACTGGATACTGTATCAGGATAATTAATACTGTGGGTATCCATGTACTAAACACTGGATACTGTATCAGGATAATTACTTCTGTGGGTATCCTTGTGTAGACACTGGATACTGTATCAGGATAATTAATAATGAGGGTATCCTTGTGTAGACACTGAATACTGTATCAGGATAATTAATACTGAGGGTATCCTTGTGTAGACACTGGATACTGTATCAGGATAATTAATACTGAGGGTATCCTTGTGTAGACACTAGATACTGTATCAGGATAATTAATACTGAGGGTATCCTTGTGTAGACACTGGATACTGTATCAGGATAATTAATACTATGTGTATCCTTGTGCAGACACTGGGTACTGTATAGAGATAATTAATACTGTGGGTATCCTTGTGTAGACACTGGATACTGTATCAGGATAATTAATACTGTGGGTATCCATGTACTAAACACTGGATACTGTATCAGGATAATTAATACTGTGGGTATCCATGTACTAAACACTGGATACTGTATCCGGATAATTACTACTGTGGGTATCCTTGTGTAGACACTGGATACTGTATCAGGATAATTAATACTGAGGGTATCCTTGTGTAGACACTGGATACTGTATCAGGATAATTAATACTGTGGGTATCCATGTACTAAACACTGGATACTGTATCAGGATAATTAATACTGTGGGTATCCTTGTGTAGACACTGGATACTGTATCAGGAAATTTAATACTGTGGGTATCCTTGTGTAGACACTGGATACTGTATCAGGATATTTAATACTGTGGGTA